GCTCTGCCTGCAAACCTGCTCCTTGCAGCTGCACCATGCAGCAGCGGTGCCGTCTCCTCCTTCAGCAGCAGAGCTCACTGCAAAACATTCCTCTGTTGCCATATCCATCCTTGAGCCCTTAGAGCTTCTTTAGAGAGTAATGGGGAAATCAATTCCCCTCCTTGTTTCATTAGGAAACACACACTTTAGGTAAAGTTTTACCTCAAGCATTGCTGTTGAGGCGAGTCAACGCTCAGAAAACTCAACCCCAATGAGTTAGTGTGAACATCTGAACACGCTTGCAGAAACTACTAGGAGACTCTTCATCACCATCCATGCTACTATTCTTACACTGTTCTTCTACTATTCTTAGCAATAAGCTGAAGAATCAGGTCACTGTACACACCATATGTATTTGGACATAATTTTAAAGCATCTTAACTCCTATGGTGAGAAATAAGCTCTATGGAATGGGCTGTGGAATAGGAAAAGCCTCAGTCTCCATTTCCATGACTCCCTCTCCCTTGCTTGTCTGAACGAGTACAGGAATGCTTCACTTCTTTCCTTCCCCAAAGTAATTTTCTGTATTTTATGCACACAAAGTGCTAAACTTAAATATATAATAGGTATATATATACTATTGCTCCCCATCTACACACTAAACTCCATTTTGATTGGCTCCCTACCATGATTTATTACATTAATAAAGACACTCCTCTTTACTGTGAAGGGCTTTCCTTAGAAAGCAGACAAATGTTTTTAATAAGAACCAAGAGATAAACCCCCATTCCCTGCTTTTCTTGTGCTATCTGCTGGACTTGAATCAAGACACAGACATACAGCTGATCAAAGAAAACCTGGCTGCAGAACACGACCAAGCTCCACGGGTCACAAGTGTTTCATAATGAATTGCTCTGCTAATGATATATGGAGAATATTAATTTCACCAGCAGCTGAGGAAGGATCCGTCCATCACTCTACTATTTAGCATTTCCTCTTGCTGACTCTTTAAGGAAGCTGAAGCTACATGGAAAGCTGGTTGCCATATAACCAGTTTTACGATATCCTAAAACATAAAGACAATTATCTCACTTCAGCACTCCAGCATTTTCCGTGCCCTGGGACTGGCTTCAGGAAGGAGCAGCGACAGATGGCTCGGCGGCAGCCCTGGGCAGGGAGGAACTTCAGCACCCGTGTGCCCGCCTTCTCCCCGCACCCCGAAGATGCAGCGGCTGCAGACGAAGCTCCCGGGCCGGCACAGGCTCCGCGGGGGCCCTGGGCACGGACACAGGCACCCTGGGCTCTGCCCAGCTCCCGCCCGGGCAGCAGCAGCAGCAGCGCAGCCTCTGCTCCGATACTCACACGGACTGCAGAACCCCCACCAAGGGATGCTGGCAGGTCTGCCACATCCGTGCCGCCCGAGTCCCAGGGCACCCGCAGGCCCTCCTCCTTGCGTTTGTTTTTAATAAGGCAAGACTCACTGCTTGATTCGATTGCATGCTAGAGACTGCAACCTCTTCTTTGGTTCAGAGAGGCTCGCAATTTAACAGTTTCCATCAACAGCCTATATCCATCTCTTAAGAGCCTTGTTTTCTTCTTCAGGAACAAGGCTTTAGTGCATCTCTCCCATAAAACCAACTCAAGGTTACTGGAACACACTAACTTCTGAAGACATCTCAATGAAGATTTGTCATTACTACCCCTGCTCTTTGCCGTAATGCTGTTTCCTTGTTTTTTCTTTAAAAAAACAACAGTGATGCATCAAATGTTTTCCCTGGGCAGTCATTCAGGCTTCCAGTCACTACCACACTCCCCTTTTGCAGGTAAAGGAGTCTGCACAGGAGGCCTCGAAAGTGCTCCATGGGGAGCAGTTTTTTTGTTTTTAATTAGGGCTCTTTCCCTAATCATGCACCTCTGCCCCTTCAGCTGCTGACTCGCTGGCTCCCACGGAGGATTTTTGGGCTCTTGCTCTGCAGAAGTGCAGTGGTTACGCAGCCTCACAGAGCAGGACGATGCAAATACCCGCCTTCCTTGCCCTCGCAGGCTGCAAGGGATGCAAAGAGAAGAGCACTCGCGTGCAGCCAGGACACCCACGGCACGGCAGCCTCGGGGAGCTGCAGCGCTGCAGCTCAGAGCACAGGCGGAGAAGAAACGATTACCTTCATCACGGGCTGAGCAAAATACTTGGCGCTCCAGTCACAGAACCCCGTCTGCACCGTGGCCGAAATGAAGCTCTTGTGTCCAACGGCATCATCGGCATCATCCGTAGTCTGTCCGGAGAGAGCACAGCATGTTAAGCTACGTTCAGCCCACTCGCATGGACAGCGGCCATCCGCAGCACCCCGGCTGCCTTAACAGATCTCCGGGCAGGAAGAAAGCTCAAAAATACTGCCCAGGATATGAACTGGTGCATGTCTAAGGTTATTGCCATTGCAGTAGCTTACTCGGTCCCATCGGGAATGGCACAGACTGCCCCTTCTGCACCTGGCATTCCCAGGCTACCGAATGAAGCAGAGCTGAGCCATTAGTTTAGCATAAATACGAAATCCCAGGACGAGCTTTTTCATGGGCTCCCAAGAATCTGCCTGAGAAGCTGTGGAGCAGGGAAGATGCTCTGGGATAAAGCACTGCAGGACAAGGTTTCAGATCAAGGACATATGTGCACGAAATATTTGCTATCAAACGAAAGACACAAAAATAAAATGGAAGAAACACTCAATTCACGGAATTTTCATCCAATTTTTCAGAAATGTGAGTCAGGCTATTGTTGCTATCCCCATGAAAATTGAAGGTGTTCCTACTAGGGATTCAAAAGCTTTTTCCTTGTAATCATGCAGGAACTACTGACTCTCAGCCTCTGGAAACTTCTACAAAGGGGTTCACAAGCAAACCCAGAAAGGCCACCTTAAGCAAAGAGCAGTTAGTTGCTCGCTGCGTGGAGTCAACTATACTCGAAGCCACCTGAAGGGGACACTCCGAATCCTCTGTGCAAGCTGCAGGGCTGCTCCAGGAGGCAATGCATCCTGCTTCTGGAAGGACAGGAATACCAGGTACTGGCCTCAAAAGGCTAAAATGGGTGCAAGCCCCTTGTTGGTGTGACCCAGAGGTCCCAAGAGCTCGTGGCCGATCTGCTCTTTCTCTGTAGGGCGATTTGCACAAGCTCTGGTCTTCCTACCAACAGCCTGGACTTACAACCTCCCTAGGGCGCGAGGACAGGGGCTGCTAAGTGTGGCACAGGGGACGACTGCTGCGAGAGGGTAAAAACTGCAGAGGGGTAAATACTGATGCCAGAGCATTCCTCGGTCTCTGGAGAGGAACCTCTGCTGTGCAGTAAAGGAAGAGGAATCTCGTCTTCATTTGCTGAGGTTGGGAAGAAAGCACCTGGAGGGTCACACAGCTCACTGTGCACCACCACTCAGACAGACGAGTGTTTATGGAAGAATAAATGATCAACTGATTAAACACTTTGCAGCAGCAGAAGTGATTAACGTCCTATCAAAGCCATAGAATGAATTTGATCCTGAAGAAAATCCATTTTTCTTTTACTGGTTAGAGGCAGCTAAACTGGAGTTAAGCAGCAGCTAGAAGCAAACAAAGCAAAGGGGGAAATAAAGCCGAGTGAACAGAAGGTGGAACAGAGCCCAGCGGAAGCGGAGGCCGGCAGGGCTGCACGGGACTCTCATTTACCTGTTCTGGGCCTTTGTCGAACATTTTCCTCGTTCTGGGGAACTGGTGGGAATGGGGGGTGTACTGCACCCCCATGTTGCCCACGTTGGCAGGTCGCACGGACGCCATGTCCCGGCTGACGGGCTGCTTCGTCACGTCGTTTGTGAGGCTGGAGCTGCTGGTACTGGTGGTGGGAGGCGACCCTCTGAAGACGGAACAAGAGCAAGAGGCTGAGGACGGCAGCGCACGCGGGACTGGGTCTCCCTTTTCCGCCCATCCGGCCTGATCTCCCCGAGTCCTGAGCACAGGGCACTCCCGCCACGCTTCCCACCCCGGAGAACCAACCCCGCTTCCTATGAACAGAGGCCACCCGGGTGCTCCCTCTTGTACATAAAGGCACGTGGAGCTAGCAAACACGGATGGCAGACGATAACATTAACTATATTCCCATCTCCTGTTCCACTGCCTCCGTGACTGCATGTGAATTATGTTACTTCTCCTTTGTTTGTATTTCATATGGTTATTTTTCACTTCTGTGTTTCTTCTACAAAAACAAGCCTCATCCCCATTAAGAAAAAAAAAAAAAGAAAAAAGAGCATCTCTGGGCTAATCCAGCTCCAGATTCATCACAGAAAAGTCAAAACTGGGGGAAACTACGAGCTGCAGCTGCACCCACAGTGCTGATCTCTGACCCCAGCACCCTGACTCCCAGTTGGGTTTCAGCGGGGAGGTGTGAAGCCATGTCAGGCCCCATAAAGGCGATTTAATTTATGTGCAAACTGAGGTTTACCTTGCAGAGCTACAAAATACCATCGTAAGACATGTTTTTTTTCCATCCCCATGCAGTTCTGGGCCTTCCTTTTTAGCTATAATGCTTACTGGTACAAAATTATCATATGGCTGCAAGATCTAAAGCTTGGTGTTTCTTCTGGGGGGGATGTTCTGGGGAACAACCAGCTTCTGAAAGCCCAGCTTTGCCCACTCCGCTGTTTCCAGCGCCCTGAAGCCGAGCTGGGGCACCAGACACAGGCTGCCCCTGGGAGAGGCCACCTCCTCCAGCGGCCGCTTTCGTTTTCTCCCTCACTTCACGTGCAGACAACCAAGGCAGCTCATTCCTGCGTGCCCTGAAGAGGGGCAACAGGGAGGAACTCCCGATATCCACAGTCCTGAGCGCTTCACCATGCCCGACCCAAGCAGCTGCCGAGCCCTCCTCCTCCTCCTCCTCCTCCTCCCCCCCAGTGCCGAGGACCACGGGGAGGTGGGTGGGTGATGGTGGGCCCACGCAGGAGGCCCCGTGGCGCGGCGGCTCTTACCCCACTTGGTGGATGTGCATGCCCTTGTTGGTGGGGCTGGCGGGCGCCGACTGCGTCAGCGAGGAGGTGTCGAGGATGCGCTGCGGCCGCGCGTTCACCGTCGCCTGCAGGGGAGAGAAGGTGGGCGCCCTGAGCGGGCGCGGGGCCCCGCGGCACCCCCGTGCGCCCAACGGGGCCGAGCTCTAACAAACTGCGCACGCGTGTGGGGGTCCCTGCGGTGCCACCCCCCGCCCGGGACCGTTTCCGCGCTTGCAAACGCTTATGGGACGGTGTAAGCAGTCACGGGACGGAGACCGGCGCCACAAAGGGCTCCGAGTGCGGGCGGCAGCAACCTGGTCCCCAGACCAAGCGCGAGGCCAGGGCTGGGCCCAGCAGCCTCCTCCCTGGCGCAGGGAGGCCGGGCTCGCTGCGGGACGGTCCTGTCCGCAACGTGCGCCGGCCCCGCGAGCACGGGGCGGCCTCGCGCCCCACGGACACGGCTGCCAACGGGCCCCGAGCCCGAGCGGGGCAGAGCCCTGCGTGCAGCGCCCCGGGAAGGGCGCCCCTTCTCCCCAGGGAGGCCGCAGCTCCCCGGATCCTGGAGATCTGCTCTTCCACCGGCCGAAGCAGCGCTCTTCCCGGAGGGGATTCATGATTTTGCTAATGGATCCCAATTAGGAAAAAAGGGACCTTTGTGCCTTTAGCATGGAGGACTGCTGTGGAGGAATAACTACCAGGACCGTTCAGCCTCAGGTCTGCCCTGAATTTGAAGACAGCTGGATGAAGCGACCAGGTTGAAGCCAGCTGTCCTTAACTACCCGTGATGTCAAAGCCCTGGAAGGGCCCACATTACTTCCCAGGGCCTGCTCTGTTCTAGCGCAGGCAAAAAGCCTGGGGTAGGTTTTTGAATGTCCAAGTTGGAAAGGAAAGCCGCCCCGCTTCAGTCTGCACGGCAAATACAAATCACAACAGAGCAGTAATCCAGCGTGAGAGGCAGCGACGTCTAATCAGGCTCAGAAATAAAGCTGCGTATTTGCAAGCCAGGAAGCCTGCGCGTCTGTGCAGCCCACTCACCGGCTGCTCAGGAAGGCAGCGCCCTATTTAAGGACCCCTGGAGCTCTCCTCCAGAGCAAGATCTACGTCCAGGGGCCATTGGGAAGCCCAAGAGCTCGGCACGTGCGCTCGCACGTCCTGCTTCGGCTCGCCTCTTGCCTCGCAAATTCAGCCTCTGCACGTGAGCTCCGGCGCAGGGCACCGCAATGCACCGAGCTGGCCTAGCCAGGGCACTGCGCAGGGGATTAGGAGCTCAGCAATATTTACTCCTCCTGAAGCTCTCGCACCAGCTCCGCTCAAGGTGTTGCCTGAGCATCCTTTGGGGCAGCTGAGCTAACGCCTACACGCTACAAAGCATGTTTAGAAATCCTAAGCGTTTACACACAGACCTTGGCAACGTTTTGAGGCCAAAACTGAAGATTCACATGGCTCACATCATTCTGAAATGCAAGTCTACAGCAAATCTGCTCAGGTCATGACAATCAAAAGCAATGTCCCACAAATCACGCTGTTTTATACAATCACATTAAAATGAAGAAATTTCAGATGTCTTAGGTTCCAAAATCGAGTCTTTTGTTCCATGAATATTCTATATAGTACTAATTAGACCAGAAACATTAAAAAACTGAGTATCCAAGTACTTTTAACCTGAAGTATTATTTTTTTTCTGCAAGAAAATCAAATTTCACTTTTATTCAACACTAACTGAAACGAGCGCGTGGAAGGCAACGTGTGCACAAGCTCTGTGCAGGAGGCCAGCGGGCCCGTGGCCAGCATTCAAACCGCTCCCGTTGACATCTACCCAACGCTCTATTAGCACCAAGAAACATCTCAGCCTACAATTGGTTGAAATTTAATTGTCACTAATTGGCATGAAGTGCCGGACAGCTCCCACAATCTATCCAAGCTCACACTGTGGAGCTGGGTCCAGAACCAGATAAACTGAGGCCAGACCCTCAGTTGGATCTAAGGCAGGATCTAAGCCTTACCTTCCATTTCCGAGGTGGTTAACGGGATGCCATGAGGGGGATCTTTGGGCAGGCCCCTAATGCAGGCGGGACGGCCAAGCCTTGCACCGGAGCGGCCCCGCTGCCCGCGCAGGGCCCCAGTGCTGCCCCAGGGGCACCTGCAAAGCTCTCCTGACCTCCGCGCTGAGCCAAGAACAGCAAAGCGCTCGTGATCACTGAAGCATCCCCGTTTTTCCACAAAAAGACAAAACCAAAACAAAATAAAAACACTCTGTAAATGGGAAAGCTTCATCTATTATTTTCCAAAACCCTCTGAAAAGTCCTTGCCTTGGAGAGGCAACTGCAGAGAAGCAGAGCAAGATGCACCACGTCCATCCACTTAAGCTTTCGCACTCCATTCAGGACCAAAACATTTAGGTCAAAACAGCTCCAAATCCACACAGAATTTAACAGACCAGTCAGAGCATTCACTACAGACATCACAACATAATGATCAAAATCCCCGAGCTCCTGCTGGCTAAGCAGAACCACAGCAGCGCTAGCGAAGACATCTGCAGGGCACAACCGCATCTTTATTAATATTTATGCATCTCTTTTCCACTAGCAAGGGAGAAAGCCCTGAAAAAAACAGTTAAGAGAGAAAAAGCAGATCCAGTTCCTCTTTGCATCCATTTTAATCCCACAGTAGGGCTAAGACTATTTTGCAAACAGCCATCCAAAATGCAGCACTGAGGCAGCTCCAAGTATCTAGAGGAGATAGAGCAGAATCTTTTTTTCTTTCCTTTCATTTTTCCTTTCCTTTCTTTTTTTCACCTTAGCCTGGAATTTCCAGCCTGACATAGTAATTTGTTAGGTACCTCTCTCATTAGAGGAAAGCTGGTGTCGTTGCCCACGACTGCCACAATTACTACCCCAAAGCCCAGACTTTACCATCTGGCTCACATGTATGCTAAAAACAAATGAAAGAGTTTAAACGAGGAGCTATTTTCTTAAGAGAAGAGCATATTTAAAAGCAAGAAATCTCTAACATGTTAAAATGGTAGTGCACAATGCTGGCATCTCTTACTGCAACTTGAGCTTAGAAGCCTAAGTGCAAAGATTCAGAGTTACTCATTGCAAATGACCAGTAAGAGACGTCATCTGGCGCTGGGATGGCTCATGAGCTGATGCTAGAGCAACCAGAAAGGCGGGATCCAAGCGGGTGGGAAGGGCTGCGCTCAGTTAGCTCTCTGATACCCCCGGCTGGGGCGGGGGGAAAGGCAGTTGGTGAGGAGATGTTCTGGGGTGGCCTGGTGCTTCGGTTCGGGTGGAAGGTGCGGGGGCTCCTACGGCGCCCCAAGCTGGCGATTCCGGATCAGCAGTGATGGCAGCCTCCAGGGACATCTCGTCATCCCTGGAGGATGGAATGTGATGAGGATGGTGGCTTAGGCCTGGATTGGAGAGGTGAGTAGTGGCAGGGGTGTCTGCATGCTGACTCACATGTACTAGTTCACCTGGATTGGAGAGCCGTTGTGGCTTCAGTCTGCAGGCCAGTCCCACTTGCATAATCTAGATCAGTTTGCAAACGGATAATTTAATGAGGTATATTTAAGGTTGCTCCCAGGGACTGATCTAGACAGGTAGACTTCTAAACAAGACCTAGTGTTTAAGGACTGTGCCTTATTTATGTCCTTAAACAATTTATGTCCCAAACCCTCCCACCTTCCTTTATTTTAACCTGATCAAGAGTCCATATGAGTGTTTATCACCTTGGAGAGTCTAAGGTTACTTCAGACTGGCTACCTACGCCTTGCCTGAGCACAAGAGACAGGAACACAGAAAAGCCTCAGAGCCCACCAGGGACAGAGGATGACGTACCTTGTAGGCGATGCTATTGAGGACTTTCATAGCCAGGTCCGAGACGTCAGGATAGGGGTCAGCCGCTAAGTGAAGGAGCACTCGCCAAATCTGGGTGTAAACACTGTTGAAACTCACACCTGAAATGGGAAAAGAAAAAAAAATCCCAAACACGTGGCAATCGTCAGCTCCAGTGCTTTGATCTGCTGCGAGAAAATTCCTAAGAATTCCTATCATCGCGCTGGGAGCTGAGAGAGCATCCAGAGAAGGGCTCCAAAACGCCCTATGTGGAACAGTCTCCACCTCATCTTCCTTTGTGAAGTCTGCCAGGGTTTGCAAAGCAAAAGTGGGAGACAACAAAGAATTCTACAACAGCTAAATAAGTCACAGTCAAACTGCTAATCTTCTAAGCCCTGGTGCAAGCCGTTTGAGAAGGCCACACAGAAGACCAGATGCTTGCAGTGTCCGAGCTAAAACACTACAAAAACACACTCATTTAGATTTGTACGGCTGTTTTTGTTGCCATTTTAAGATCAATATTCATTCTGTATATTCAGGGCTTTACGCGTTCTACAAGGTTATTAAACACCTGAGCATCACGATGAAGCTCGAGGAAGGGCACCTTTGAGGAGCACCAAGTCTCTCGATTCCTCCTACTGCCACCAGCGTTGGGCTGTTACTTGCTTGAGTAGCTGCACTTTGGTGTCCAGCAGAAGCCACTGACAGTCTCAAAGTGCAAATCAAGTTAATAAACCATTGTAACAACTGACAAAATTTCTGTGAAAATTCTATTTTGCTGCTTTTAGGTGTATCTTTAATTTGTTATTTTTTCTCCGAACCCTCAGAACATTTAATAGCTATTAAATGCACCATCTTTTGGGAGTTGAGCCATTTGGACCACATTACAGTAGCAGCACTAACAAAGAAAGGAACTAAAATAGGGATTTCGAATGAGTCACAATCAATGGCAGTGACAGATCAAGCTGTTACTGCTTCTCCTTTAGTGTTCCTGGAGGCAACTAAGTGTAAAGTGTTAAATTGGGAATGAAGGTCCATGGCCAACAAGTTGCCACCTTGTGCGCCCTGGACCTGCTGCTCAAGCCGGGAGCAGGGAGGCCGTGAGCCCTGGCTGAGGAGCACAAGGACGGCAGGAGCTCCAGCTGCTCCGTCCTCACGGGCTTGTCTGCACGAGGCAGAGGGAGCTTCTCCTGCCACCAAAGCTGCCCGAGGAGCGACGGGGCGTCCTGCAAGGCGGCCTGAGCTGAGCTCAGCCTCCCCTCTCCAAGACCTCTGGGTCACATAAAGACCCAGCAACGCTAAATCTGCCCAGGAAAAGGGAGGAAATTGGTAATCCTAGCATGCAGGGACACCTGCTAATGCTTAAAGCCCCCGAGAACCTCAACCTCCAGTGACAGGAGGAAGCCTTTGCTCAGGCTGCCGGATGCAGGGACGCGGTGCAACCTTCTCTGCCCTTTGCAGGCTCCCCTGCCTGGCACTGACCTTCACAACTGCCACAGTCTCTGGGAGCTGTTATTTCCAGGGAAAAAGAGCAGGGAAGGGGAGAAGGCGAGAGCCGGCGCGTGGGCAGGAGAGGCCCCTCGGCGGCTCCGCGCTGCCTCCACTGCCGGGCGGGCTGCAGAGCCAGGAGCAGCAACGGGAATCCCAGCGGGTTGGAGCTGCCCAAGCCCGGGAAAGACAGGGAAAGGAGAGGGAACGGAGACGGGCAGGAGGGCAGCGGGATGATGCTGTCCCTGCTCTGCTCAGTGGCTCGCTCTTGACGCAGGCACAAAGGGGAAAAAAACCTCAATGACATTTTTTATACATCTGAGCGCCAGGAAAAGCAAATCTAAAATAGATGTGGGCCGGCGTGATCCCCAACTCTCTTTGATAAGAGCAGAGGGAACAGGGAGGCGCTCCCATTCCAGGTGCTCCCGTTCCGGTGCTCCCGTTGCGGGGCGGCCCCGTGGCCAGGAGCCTGTCCCGGTGCCGCCGGCACAGCGGCCAGGCTGCAACAACAATAAAAACCTCCCAGAGCCGCAAACAAAACGCCCAGCAAGGCGGGCGGCAAATTAATTTAAGCAGACAGCTCCGTAATTAGTGAGGCTGATTCAAAGGCAGTTAAATGGCCCTTGCAGGATAGATTCAGAAAATGATTCCTTTCAGCTAAGGATGGCTAAACTAAACTGCCTTTCTTTGCCCACGACTTCGGCTTTGTTTGCACATGTACAACTCTCTGGAAGAGAGAGCTGCTCTCCAGCCTTGCATTGCTCTAAGTTTCTTTTTTTTCCCCCTCCTCTCTCTATAATTATTCCTAATTTAATCTTTCCAGCCTCTCCGCAGGACAAGGACTTTAATCATGCAGTTTGCATATGAATAATGAGTCTCAAGGAACGCACCTCCCATCTTAATTCCTTCCCTTTTCCTACCTCAAAACAAAACAAAATTAAAAAAAAACACAAAACAAACACTGGGAACACTAAGATTAATGACCAGCAGAACGGAAGGAGCGCCCAGGCTCATCCGGCCACGCAGAGCAGAGCGACGTCGCTCCTGGACCAGGACTGGCCACAGGTGGGAACGCAGGGGCCAGACCCCAACGTGGCTCCGGGCTGCTGGGCGAGGAGCCCCCTCAGCCCCACGCGCCACGGGGGACGTTTTGCCTTTAGCTAATTAGGAAGCTCTCTGCAAAAGGGAGGAGCGACCAAAGGGTGGCAGGAGCTGCTGGGATTCTGCAAACTCTTCCCTTTGGGACCACCGAGAGCAGGGTGGAAGACTGCGATTCTTCAGTAGAAACGAAAAAAAGCCTGGCTTTAAGCAGGCAAATGCTGGAGGTAATGGGATTCTGTGTGAGTTATGAATTTTAAACACTTCTATAAGCTCTGCCGTTTCCAGCTGGATATGAGCTCTTCCAATTGAATAGGAATGAGGGAGGCTTCGGAGAACTGCTCTTTTTGTTTTCCTAAGTTCCCGTCAGTCATCTCGGGCTGATCTCTAGGCTCCTTTTCAACTGTGCTGCAAAGCTCCTGTGAGACACACACAAACCATCAGCGCAGATCAGTTTGCACCAGGGTAAGGGAGGAAAACACAAGTTCCAGTTTAAGAGAGGGAGAGAAATTTCCAGAAGCGCCTCTCATGCTGTAGAGAATCCGATTTCATTATCTACCATCAAAACTGAACGATTTGATTACGTTTCTAATGACTACTTGATTTTGAACTTCCACTGGGAATGTGGCGTCAGTTAACAGTCAATAACGATACCAAATGCATCTTATTTTGGTTGTATGATCCCAGAACCTTTTGAGTCCGTAAAGTGCAGGTTTTTGCTGGTTATTGAGGGCTAGAAAATTATGGGCATTTACTAATTACAAAGAAAACTGACAGGCTCCCGCAACAGTTCTCTGGTGGGTGCTTCCTGCTCTGCTCTAGGGAGCATGAGACCATTCCAAAAGCCAGGTCCTGCATGCCCCATCCACTATCATCTCAGAGGGGACTCGAGTTCGAAATAGTAGAGCTAGTTTAAAGCAATGCTGGTGCAACAATCAGGCACGTCTAGCAAAGTTATTGTAGAAATAACCGTGCTGAACTAGCTCCGTGCAAACACTCCAGCTTTGTCCTATAAAAGAAACAAAACCCATCCATAAGAGGGAAACCAGCCATGCACTGCATAATGCAACTCCAATTTCCCTTCCTCTGCGCTGTAGCACTGCGCTCTGCAGTGCTCTGTGCGTGTGCCAGAAAGCCAGGCGCCAGCATAGGAAACGACTCAAGTGGCATTAAAAAGCTTAGTTGATGTTACAAGTTATCCATGAGGAAATAATGGGGCATGGATTGGAAGTAGCAGGAGCGGCCATGGAACGTTTTGCACAGAGGTAGATTTCTGTGGAATACCCAGTGTGTCTGCGCTTAAGACACAGCCTGAGATTTCTTCTTTTCTGAGTCTCGTTCTAACAATTCGTACACAGACCTGCATCGGAAATTAGCTCAATAAGGCTCCCTCATACGAGCAACCCAAGAGATGTCTGTGCTGAACAGAAATACAGCCCACATGAAGAACAACGAGGGGAAGCCGCAGTGCCAGGGAGCCCAGCTGCTCTGCTCTGCCGTGGGACACGAGCCCTCGCTCGCTTCCCTGGCCAGCGACGTCGCAGCGGATGCAAAATTCCTGTCCGTGCATTTCTGTGCTCAAACCTCTGGTAGGGCCGTGCTCTGCCAAGGCAAAGCAGGTGGCTGAAACCCAGCAGCTCTCTCATTTCCAGTCTCTCCACCAGTGAGGCTTGAAAATTAAATTTCCCACTCTCCTTCCTGCCTCCACAGACCCCAGAATTGCGTTTCTACTATTGTAAGAACTTGTGTTGGAGTAAGATCTAGCAGGAGGTGTAAATCAGTGCTCCCACAGAAGCTAGTGTAAGCAGCACACAAAGAAGGGAGAAAACAAAGGAAGGGTAAGAAAACCTCTCCGCACCTATCAGGGAATTCAGAGAAGAGTAGGAGCTGACTCGTCTCATCTTGTCGATAGTCTCGAACGACAGGATATACTCTTCGTTCTCAGGGCTGCCCAAGGTGCTGCTGGCACTGCTGCTCGTGCTGAGGTTCCCAGGAGAAAACGCGACAGAACTTCCAGCTGCCAAAAGGAAAGAAGGCAGGTGCTGAAACAAGACCTGGTGAGAGAAAAACTTTAAAAATTCCTACAACACCCAGAGAAGGTGCAGACAAATCCACAATGTCACACCAAGTGTTTAAATACAGATCTAGTGTCAAAGCATCAACAATGATTCAGACAGTTAAAAATCCATACAAGTCGGCAAGTAGAACGAGCCTTCCTTGGCCTACAAACACTTACAAAAATCAATACTAATGACCAGCAAATTGAAAGTAATTAGGAACGAGGCTTCTCATGCAGCTCCTTGGAGCTAGCAGCTGCATAATCTGGGCTAAACTGTTACTTTTGGATCTTGTTTTTTTGCAGATGGTACGTCCTAAATTGTGAGAGAGGAGGAAAAGTGGTGGTAAAGAAACATTAAAGAATTTAAGTCTCTCTTACATTCTTCATTCAGGCTGAGGTTCTGCAAGGATTTGTTGAGGTTCCTGGCGGTGGTGACTGCTCGGATGTTCCCGTACGAGCTGACCGAGCGCAGCCTTGGCGTGCACGGACCATCTCGCACCGGTGTCAAACTCCCACCCTCTGTGGAGAGAAAAGTCAGCAATTATAGACACAAGAGAACCAGCCAACAGGCTATCAAGTAATCAAATGTAATTATTACCGCTATGAACAGAATTCAGTCATTGCCTGTTATCCTACAACAGGATGAGGAAGAAGGAAGGCTCCTCTGTGCACATAATCAACAAGGCCTGCGCTCCCTTCCTGGTTCGGATGTGATCTGTTACCTCCAGCGAAAGCAGGAGAGCGAAGCCTTGCCAGTGCCTGCAGACTACCAGGAGGGCCAGGATGACTCGCTCCTCGCAGGTTGCTGCTGGGACACTGCCCAGATCCTGTGCTAGGACACACTGCTAGAACAGATGCCTGTTAGGAGATGGCATTTAAGAGCAGGCTTCCGTCTGCTTCTGCTCATTAAAAATCTGATGATTTTTTCATCATGAAGAATTAATAAAATACTTACTTCCCAGTCAAATTTCAGGCTTGGTTTCAAGTCATATTTTACTCACAACCTGGATACCTATCATCTCATCCAGACAACCTATTCTTCATTTTCATTCCTGCAGGCGCCCACAGGAGCACGGCTGCAGAACAGCTATTTTGTTCCTCTGCAGAGGTGGCTGCATGATGGTGGTGGGAGCAGCGCTTCCAGTGCATCCTATTTATAAATTACTTCGGGACACTTTTGAATAATGAAAAGCACTATATAAACTGCAAGTAATGAGCATTTTCTGCAGCAAAAAAAGACAAATGCGGGGAAGCTTATTTTCTAATATGATTCATTTATTCAGACAATGAAGAGATTAAATTGCTTATTGCAGAGATAATACATGCTCCTGCCTCCAAGATTCTGTTGCAAAAGTCTCATTATCCTTGATGATTTCCAGCGTGCTCAGTGTCTAAAGGGAATGTGAGGTTAACAATAAATTCCTCACATAAAGCAACACACGCAAATGGATGGGAAGGCAGACACAAAGCATAAGGTTCTTCACCATGTCCTGCCCAGTGCTCTGCAGTAGCACAGGGCATGGTTTACTGCCCCGGGGCAAGGCTTGCCAGCCTCATTAGGTCAGAAACCGCTGCAGTTTCATATGTTAAAGAGGCTGATGAAGCTTCAGAACAAAATGTGTCGTCTGGCAAGCGTGGGGACCTTCCTCACAACCCGGACAAACAAGCTTCAATCTTGATCTGAAGGGGATCCCTTCAGGGCTTGGCAGGGTGTCAGTCTCTGCACTGGGCTCTACAGTTCGACACTGAGCTGCACCCGCCTCTTAGAGCGGGACTCATGTCGGGATACGTCAGCACAACACCCTGCGGTGCTCAGCACACATCACAGCCATGTACCACGTCACTAAACTCGTAGCAATGGTTCTTTTGGACAAATCATCACCAGGAAAAACCTCATTGTGCTGGGCAACTTCTCCATTAAAGTTCTCCAGGATTATGAGGCTCTGAGTTCCCTGGCCCAAAGGGAACAAGGCAGGACACGAACCTGTGGTGGCAGGGGACGGGAGTGGGTAATTCTTCTCTTCTTCCATGAACTGCAAGGCAACGGTGCAGAAGTTGCTCTCATACTGAACCACCAGATGACTCAAAGCCACCACCAGCTCCTACGGAAAGGGCAGAAGAAACAGGTGAGGGGCTTGTCCAATAGCATTTACGTGGGAAATGGCTTAAACGGAGCAACTCCAACTTGCTCATTTCTTATTTGAGAAATTCTGCAGTAACTGCCCCGTTTGGCAGAAAACATTGCACCGGAGAGGATGTGACAGGCTCTCGCTTGAAAGGATCGGGGCAGGAGGGTAGGAACTTCTGGTCAGATACCTTCTATTAGAGGCAAGAAGGATTACTTTGTTCCTCTGTATTTCCAAGATTCTCTTTATAGCTGAACAGCTCATTTTTTATGATGATTACTACCACAGAAATTCATATAAATAACACTGAAAGACAGAGAGGTGATACACCAGATCTATCCATCCAAAAGAACACGCTGTTTTAGCAGGGTGTATATCAGATTAACAGAGCTGAACAGTGTATGATGTTAAGTTTAAAATTACAAAGGCTAATAGGCCCCAAATAATTTCAATTTAAAAGTGCACGGCCCGTGTCCCTCACCCTGCAACACCTACACTAGGAGCAAAGACCCCCGAGGAGAGCAGCCCCAAGGGCCACGCGCGCCCGGCCGAGCCTCGCGCACCTTCCTGACCATGGGGCTCCCGTCGTTGATGAGCTGGGCCAGCATCATGGCCACGTTGTGATCGATGGTGGTCGAGTGGTCCGTGCGCTCGGCCGAGTTGCCCACGAAGGTGCCCAGCGCGAAGACCGCGGCGCAGCGAACCTGGCGGAGACACACACACTCCTAGGGCTTCCCTTCGCCGCCAGCTCCGCTCTCCACGGGGTGGGATTTGCTTATCCCTTATCCCCACCGCCGGCATCTCGGAAACTTGGGCTGCACCGGGTAAATAGTGGGGACTAAACGGGAGCCCGCAGAGAACAAGATCAGCCTCAGAAGAGAGGTTTCAAGTGCTTAATAGGTGCACAAAGGAATTTACTCTCCCAGAACATTCGGTGACCTTCCCCGGGGCGATGTTTGCACTTGGCACTGCCTGGAATATTAATTAGCAGAAACGAGGCGCACAGGCAGCTCCTGGTGGGATGCACTGCTCTTATTAGGGCGCTAGCTACAGCCCTCGGTAGGATCAGCAGAACTACAGGAGAAGATATCGGGACATGAAAACTTAATCATTGTAAAGGTAATAATAATAATAACAACAATAGTAATAATAACAACGTCTAAGCACTGCATGTGGGCAATGGCATTTATTCCCAGGCTTCCTTCTCCCTAATGTGACATAATTTCAGCAGAGCCTGACAGGAGCTGTCAGTCACAGCCCTGCTCTGCACAAGGATCTCTTCTCTTGGAGAACTTGTCACACAGGTGAAACGCATTCAATTAAAGATGTATTTTCACACATGCCTGGAGGAGAATAGTTTTTGTGCTCAGACAAAAAGGTTAGAGGATTTTCTGAAATACAGCGAGCTGCAGGAGCACATTTTCACAAAGCTTCTGATGCAGCTGTCACCAGGACATGGCGTTTCCAGCTCCTGCTTCCATGATTTCCCCATCGTCAGGACAGCACAAATTCCCCCTGCATTTCCCTGGTTCCTTCTCGCATAGGGCTACATGACTTGTGTTACTTTGAGGATCCAGCACTAAGATCTTTTTGAAACACGCATATAATCATACAGATTTTGGAAGTCCTGGTTGTGAAAGTCCATCTCTTTTACAACCATGACAATTCAGCCAGCATTTGTGCAAAAATCTGGATTTTTACCTCTGGGATGGGATCAGAGAGGAGACTGTAGAGCTTTTCGTGGGCACTGTCCCTCACCCCGCACCACCTGGCCGAGTCGAAGTTCTGCCAGATGCGCCCCAGACAAATGGCCACCCACTGGCGCAGGAGCGGGTGCGGGTCGCTGAGCTGCTCCAGGCAGATAGCGATCAGGTTTCCTTGAAGGCAGGCTTCCTGGAACACAAGGCGCTGCAAGTTATTCGGGATAACAACTTCCCACCCCATCAGAAAAAAGGGATTGTTCGAAATAGACAGGAAAGCAGGAGAAAGTAATTACTCCGCAGTTATGGAGTTATTTCATTGCAAAGCACCATTTGAAAGCAGTCTGACCTATCTGCTGTTATTGGTAGGCACACAGCTCAGCAGTAGAAATGCTTTCTGCAGTGCAGAAAGCCTGTTTTTCCCTCACTGAAAATGTTCCTTGCAGCTGGCAGAGCCCCAAGGTTTATGGCTCATTCTGTTTGCCTGCCTTTATACCCTTCCCAAACCTTTATCACAACCATCAAGTTTGCACTTGACAAGAACGAGGTGCTATTTCTCCAGCTGCGTGGCAGAGTAGCGCCCGGAGGGGCAGCTCCTGAGCACTGGCGTCTCCAGCCTCCGCTCCCAGGTGCCACCGCGTACATGATGTGTGTGTCACCCCTCCCGTCACCCGCTCCTTTCAGTCCCCAAAGAAAGGACATAAAGCAATGTTCCCACTGCAATTTGCCAGCTCAGGGCCGTGCTTCATTGCAAGGCAGGCGCCCTCGAGGTAAAGGCGCAGGGCAGAGCAGGGCTGGGAGGGGAAAACGCGGGACCCACCTGTCCTGTGTTGTAGTTGTTCACGATCACAGCCAGAATAAAAGCCGTCATTGTCCTGTGTTCTGCCTTAAAACAACACACAGCCGCTTGTTACCTTGCAAATCAGAGAACAACTGGATCCCACGCACCAGAAGGCAAAGAATCTTCTTATCACCCGACCCCCTCGCTCATCACAGGTATGGTTCGGGAATGAGAAGCTTGCACTGAAATTTGCCCTCCTCTGCATCCATTAATCAGAGCAGCTCCCACCCCTGGTCCGCAGCACCCCTGGCATCCCCCTCACAGCACCCACATTTTAGCCCCCATCACCAGCAGCCTCCCAACGATGCTGCTCGGGAGCGGGGGGGACAGTCCTGCACTCCCAGCAGCAGCATCCCAACAGCAGCACCCACATCAACACCCACTGAGCAAGCGGTAAGAGCCTGAGAAAGCGATGGCCCGTCCTTACCGGCATGTAAGGGTCTGCCAAAACAGAGAGGAAATACTTGTGGCCGTTGTCCTTGACGAGGTCAGCCTGGCACGACTGCAGGAGGAGACAGAAAGGAAGGGCTGAGCGTGGGCGGCAGAGCCGGGCCAGCCAGGAGCAGCGCGCTGCAAAGCCAAGGGCTGCGGGCGGCACCGCGGGGACCCTGACACCAGGGAGGGATGCGAGAGAACGGCCGGGATGCGAGAGACCCCGACTGCTGACGGGAGCACAGAGCCCAGGAGCGACGTGATGTCGGCGGCCACAGCCGCCCTCCCACCGCGGCGCCCTCCGCCTTCCCCTGGGATCCCCATCCCGCATCCCGGCACAGCCGGGCCCTCCCGCCCTCCTGCAGCGTGGTCGCCAGGCCAGGAAACGATGCAGCTGCAAAAAGGCAACGACACCATTTCAGCTGGAAGCGCAACCCCCTAAACTAGCGGTGCTCCAACAAGTGCTCCCAGACTGGCTTTGCCGCGAGGAAAAGGCAGCGATGGCACGGCAGCCTGTGAGCTAGGGCTGAGCCTGCTCGGCAGCACACCTGGCGCTGCAGCGTCCGCCACGGAGGGGCAGCCATCAAAATAAGCCCTTCAAGAGCAGTTCCAAGATGGATAGTTTTCATTTGCTTTGCTTTTCAGAGGCCTCTTTGGATGTTAATGAAAATATATTTATGAAACTAAACATGACAATGCCAGATCAACAGTGGGGGAAAATGCCAACAAATCTGCTATCACTCTCCATACTAAAATGGGAGGGAAATAACAAAAATAAAACTAGAAGTAGGCAAGAGCCAACTTCGTCAAGCACTTCAGATGATTTTTTATTACCTTGTAATTGTAACCACAATTAACTGTTTGTGTCACTCCTAATAATTTTATATTGCTCAACGCCCACAGACGAGTCGTCATACGTATGAATGTATCAGCTAATGTATGATCACTTATCTACCCCGTTTAATCATTTATTTAAAGCTAGTTATAGTTAAGGCCATCTTTAAATAAATACAAGCCAGGGCTCAGCTTTTAAACCTTACCCCGAAAGGTGCCAGCACGCTGTGGAGCAGACTCACGGGCCTGCGATGGGAATAACCTGTCTCGCGTGGGCGGCCAATATCTCTATGCCCACTATGTTTGATACATCAAAGCACGTGGATCAAACCGCATCAGACCTGGAGCATGACTCATAAGGTAAGCTCCCTAAAATTAGTTGAGCTTTCCTTCTAGAAAGGCCTGGGGGGGCTCGGGGGCGCTCCTGAAGCGGCGGCGCCGCGGGGGCTCCCGCGGTTCCCCAGGCGTTCCTGCCCTCTGCACGGCGAGGCGCCGCTCGCAGCCCGCGGCACCGGCTCGCATCGCTGCCGAGGCCGCGCTGCGGGGCCACGGGCGCGGAGCGGGAGGCAGCCCAAACCTCCCGGAGGGCAGGGGTAGCCGGAGCATCCAGCCCGGCAGGGATCTGGGGGCCTTTCGCGTCCCCAGCTCCGGGAAATCAGCCTTGGCACAAGTGGAACCCACTAACTAGAGCAGCACATCACACCTGAGATGCCCGCTGCGTGTAAGCACCTCAGCATGAACTCTGAACGAATAAGGACAGATGGGACAATAACAACGAAAAGGCCAAAAACCAAAGAGAAAGCAGCCAAGTCCAGCAATACTCACACTGTCCACCGCGAGGATTTTGGCCCAGATGAACACCAGCAGCGGCCTCAGCTCGCGCGCCGAGCTCTGCAGCAGCTTCAGGACGTAGGGGAAGATGCCGACGGACAGGGCCTGGCGGGCACAGAGAGAGCCATGGGGCACCCAGCGCTGCACCTTTCACACACAGGCGGCCCATCCAACACCATAGAGGAAAAACCCGCTAAGAGCCAATTTCATACATTTCCAGTGAAGAGGGGAGCCCTCTACGCTTGTTTATTGCTCATTTCAATCTCGGATGTCACCAGATATTTCCAGCCTCATTTCGCCCGCTGAGACGCGGAGTTAATCTCGCGCCAGCTTTCCTCATTACAGTCTCTGCTATTTTATGCTTCACGATACGCCGCTCTCCTCAGACAGGGCCGTTAGCTCCTGCAAGTAAACACGCTGCCAAAGCTGAATAATTACACTCTTCCCTCTGGAAATCAGAGAGGCCTCTCCCCAAGCACCGACTTTTTCCCAGATCTTTTGCACGGTAACAGACAAGGTTCTTTGGAGAACTCTGTTTGTCCGGCCGCTGAGGACCCGGCTCTGCGACAGGTCTCCAGGTGGCCCAGGAGAGGAGAGATGGAAGGCAAAGAAAACCTCTGGAAAGACCCATCATGAGTCGATTCCGCTATTAGCTTTTCTCCCATTTTAATCCTTCCAGTATTTTAAACCAAACTATTCCAAAGGGGATCCTCTTCATAGCAGTGCAGCTGAACAGCTATTTGCCCTTTACGATTAATCCAACCTCTCCTCCTTTTATTCTTTTAGATATATTTACTCCATTTCCCACGCCTAAAGAACAAATCAAGTATTGCCCATTGCTCAAACTCGCGGAGCATCTGCCTTGCCTTCCTTTTGTAAATCATCACTGGTATTTATCACCTGTACCGGAGAAGACTTTTACAAGACAACACGCAACACCCACACACCAGGCTGACTGCCCAGGGCCCCAGGTCCAAAAATCTTCCCAGCAAATCAAGAGCTCGCAGCCGATGAACTTGGCTCAGCAGCACCTGCAAAGGAAGGGGACAACCATCGTGACTCGGAAGAACAAACACCCTTGTGCTTGCGGAGCAAATGCAAGAGGTCCTCAAGAGCTGAGCAAACTGACGATCTCCATCACCTAATAACCTGGAAGACAAGAACTCTGCCGGGAAACTTTCTCCGTGCTGAGTAGGGTGGGATGGTGTCTACAGGAAGGAGGCCAAGGAGAGCACACGGCCCGGGCTCCCCTTATCTAAAACGGTCCAGAAGCAGAAAAAGAGGCTTTGCTTTCCTTGGCAAATGGATAGAAGAGACTTAAGAGGAAAGCAAAAGGTCACATTAGTCTTTAATAAAAATCTCATTAAAACGGAGTCTAACAACGATAATGAGGTTGCAGTTTACTGGCTTATACCTACGCTGGTGTGAAATATTAACAGACAGACTTTCGGTTCTTAATCTCCTTAACAAATGTAAGATATTGGAATGCAATGTTTAATCCTCTGCTTAAATTGAGTAACATCCCTCAGCACGGATCATGAAAGAGACTCGTTGATTCAGCTCCCCAATTCCACCCCCTTCTGTTTTTTTTTTCCACATCGTATATCTAATTTAATTATTTTTTTATGTTTAATATTGAAGAAAAACTAGTACTATTTGGCTCATGTCTCCAGACATGATACTGATACTGCTGATACTAGCTACTAAATTTGTGCAGAGAAAGTCCAGAAGTAAAGACTGCTCCGTGGGAGGGGTATTAGCTGCTCTAGCTGTTTCACCTCTGAATAACTGAGCTCAGATCCCAGGACAGGCCGTAGGAGAAAGGATTCTGGTCACGGTGACCTAGTTGGCACCAGCCTGTTTCCTAACGAACCGCAGAACTTGGCACGATCGGCAGGCTGCTCTGAAGGTGCCGAGCGCAGGAATAACGGGGGCAGCTGCTGGAGATTAAAGCAGTGACAAAACAGGGCAGGGTGAAGCTGCGGGTCTCGCAACACGGCTCATCCGCGCCTCCGAAAGCCGAGCGCGTCCTGTCTAAGCGGGGGAAAAGGTGATGCAATTGGGAGATTTCCAACGGGGGTGGCAAAAAAACATCTTGACACAGCAGCACCCCACGAGAATCAAATGGTGCCTTGTTTTAGAAGTTCCACGGCACTATTTTCAGAAATAAAGCAGCCAGCGCTGGCTCTCTGGGGCTCCCGCGTGCCCCCTTCCTGGGCTGCCTTCCACAGGAGCCGGGGGCCAGGGCTGGGGGACCCCGGAGCCCCGCAGGAGCCGCCGGGCAGCCCCACACGTCACCACCGCCCTCCCGCCAACGCCTCTCTCTTCCCTGGCTTTAGAGTCTCTGCGGAAAGGGCCGCTCCGGCGCTGTCCTCCCTGCCCTGCCAGGGCCTTGCAGCCTCCTCCTCGCGCTGCCACCCCGTCACGCGGCCGTCCCGGGACATTCTGCTGTCCCCCTGCCAGGCCTGTCCCCACCGCCTTGAACTGCAAATCCGGGGAAGCTTTGGAGGGGCCAGGGAAGCTAAAGAGCAGCCCTGCGGGGACGCCCCAAAGAGCAGCTATTGCCCGAGCTCGGAGCAAGCCGCCCGGGGCCGCAGCGAGGGAAGCAGAGCGGCCGCGAGAAGCTGCTGCCAGGACAGCAGCGAGGACATGGCAGGACACCCAGGGAGAAGGGTCCGCACTCCAGCCCCTCAGCAGGAGCCCAACATGCAGCTGCCTCCCTCTCCCGCCTCAGCCCTGCTTACCGGGAGCTGCCCAAGCCACCTTATCGCACCATACAACCATACAAGCTTTAATTACTTGGCTAATTACAGCGAGCCAGCTCATTCCCGCTGCGAGGAGGGCAGGTTCCTTGTCCAGGTGATAGCTCGGCTCCACAGCACACAGAGCTCCCGCAGAGCCCGGGGCCAACGGGCCTGTCAGGAAGCAGCGAGTGCCAGGGAAGCCGCCTGCATCGCAGCCCAGCACATGGGCACGGAGGCTGCTTTTCCAGCTCGCCTCCTGGCACGGGGGCTCCCAGAAATTAAGGTTTGCTTGGGCAAAGACTGACCATGCTGTCAGTCATGGAACATGTTGGGAGCAGACAGTGAGGAGGAGAGTCCTCCCGTCACGGGGAGGGAATCAGATGCCCCTGGGTAAGTGCTGGGAAGCAGAAAGGTTTCATATTTTGCTAGCTGAGAGCAGAGCTGCCTTGCCAAGGGCTTTCACTGCTGCCAGTGCAAACCCCAGGGAGGAGCAGGGAGCAGACAGTGACTGTCCCATAAAACACAGGTGGGTCAGGGCTTGCGTTTCTCCTAGGGTCTCTTCTCCGACCTTGCACTCGTGGAGCTGGAGCAGCAGCTGATGGGCGCTGCGGCAGCAGCTGCAGGCAGCACGGCCCCGAGCCCCGTTCCTCCGCTCCTGCAGCAGAGCTCCAGCACTGCAGGGAAGGGGCCGATTTATAGGCTGCACCCGGGAGAAGAGCCGCCCGCAGCCTGTTCCCACAATGCCGACAGCGGATACAGAGAGCAGCTAAAGCCCCCGCACGTGACATGGGACAGGAGAGAAGCGCTGTGCGAGAGGCGCCCGGGCCGCGCTCACCTGCAGCACGATGGGCAGCTGCTCCGGCGGGTTGCGGTTCTCCACACCCATGGTCAGCCACACCTGGAAGGCCGTCAGCTGCTCCGCGAAGAAGGGGCTGTGCTGCTCAAACGAGAGGCACCAGGCTCCGTTAAACCCAGCTTACCAGCCAGCCTGGGCATCCACACACCTGCAATGCACTGTTTCCAAAACTACCACTTCCATATATATATATATATATATACACACACACACACATTTATAAATATACACACACATTTTCCAAAAACTGATCAGCTCCAATTCCCTTTACATTAGGGAATGTCAGCATATATAAGTGCTTTATAAAAGAAAAGTGAAGGAAGAGCAATAGGAAAAGCTCTTGTAGAAGATCCCAGGGAATTCTGGCTAGTATTTTCCACACAAGGAGCAGATGGAGCACCGGTTGAATTATCTGCTCTGCAGAGCTGGTTTGCTCCCGCAGCACATGGTGCTGCCTGTGCCCAGTCCACAGCAAAATTCATCCGGGGAAAGGGAAAAGGTCTGTACCTCTCTGCTGCTCCTCGGCTGCCCTGAAGCTCTCCTGCAAGACGTGCTCGTTCCCATGGCGTGGGCTGCACCACAGCAAGGCTGCCCCTTCCCAGGGCTTTAATTCCAGCCTTTGTTTAGCTGCCCATCATCTGACCCTTGCAACCCAGTAACATCTTTATACAAGCAAACAAAAATCTGGAAGTGTACTTGCAATTCCAAATTGACTAGTTGAATTAGAGATAACCTGCAACTGTAGTCAAATGAGCAAATGACGTGCAAAGAAGCAGCCTAAATAAAGGCATTTAGCAGAAAATTTGTGCAGAACAGGGACACGTATAGAGATGAGGACGGCTTTCTTAAATAGGCATATTCTAGCTGAAAAAAAAACCTATGAAGCCAAGTTCTCTCCAGGAAAAGCAGCCAAGGAATTAGAGGGCCCCTGGAAGCTCTGCTCGACAGGCCTGAGAACCAGGCGCTATTTCACAATCGGTGTCTGAGTGGCAGGCAGCGTGCACCACAAATCACCAGTCTGTGGCACCTCCAGACGCTTAGGGGACAGCAGGGAGGAGCAGACAAAGGGCTGCAGCTGGAACCCACGTGGCCACCGCGGCCTCTGTGGGGACGGGCGCCCGCTGGGCTGGGCAGCGACGCGGGGCCCGCGCGGGTCCCCCGGGCACCTCTGTCCCGCCACGTGCAGACACTGCTCCAGCCGCCTGCTGCACCACGGCAGCGGTGCCAAGCAGGCAGGAGAAAGGACTAATCCAGGTGGGAATGTCCTGGGATGCAGAACAGGGAACGGAAGCAGACAGAAGGTCCCCGACAGCCCCTCCATGGGAAGGCTGCTCCCGGCCCCTCTCCAGGAGTGTCGCACAGAGCCGCGAGGAGCGGCAGGGCCAGGGCACGCGGCTGGGAACGTGCTGCGGGAACACCACGTTCCCCGCGGATTAGATCCCGCTTTATCCCGGGCCGGGCCAGTAATCCTGCGTCGCTGCTCCCGCCGCATCCCGGGAGCGCCAGGCTGCGGCCCCACAGGCACCGCAGCCCCCTCCTGGGCACGCGCGTCCCGCGGGGCCGTGTATTGGGCGCAGCGCACAAAACGCCGCGGGCTCTGCCAGCACTTGCAGCCTCCTGCACCGGCTGCCCCTGCAGAGAGCTCGCGAACTGCTGCAGAAAAACACACACGGCTCCCGAGGGACCTCAAATGACTCCATGAGCTGGAGTCTCGGAGCACATTACCACGGAACAGGTGGGCGAGGGGCAAAGCAGCTATTATTTAAAGGTTTCCATCCATTAAGTGTCAAAGGAATACCAGGAGCGCTCCATTCTGACTAGAGGAATTCTGGCCAAATGCAATACTAAAGGCTCTGCTTTTCTGCTCTTCAAGATTAGCTAGCATGAAAAACAACAGTGACTCATATTAAGGACATTGTGCTTAGGGAAATGCCGGGACATAACCCTCAACCTCTATTTCATGGCTATTTGAAAATATCCCCGTTAGGAACCAGTATTTGCGTTTCGAGAAGTTAGAAGTTTTCCGTATAAAACTCAGGCTGGTAAGTCCTGTTAATGACAGTACTGTTTGACTGAGTGCTCTGAAATTTTAAAAGTCAAAGTACTAGTCTCAAACATCATTTTTACTCTTAAAAACAGGTAAAATGGCATTTAACAGAAACCTTTTCTATGATCTCTTTCTCAGAAAATGCTTCACAGCGGAGGTAAACTACAGACACTTGATTCAAATACACTGTTTGAATTCAGATACAGGTACAGGTTCAAACAGGTCACATGCAGCAAAGAACTTCAAGAGAACCAGGAGCTTCGTGTGAGGGATTAGAGAGTTAGGATTTTCCTAAACACAAACCCTCAACTTGCAACAACCCGAGCCCCCATGAGCAAAGTGATGTTCAGAACCGAGGCTGCAAATCTCGGCTTGCAGTGGGCACAGAACACTGCAACGTGCTGAGTTACTTACCCTAAAGGCAGTTCCTTCCTCTATAATGGTAGGTAGCTGTGAGAGGCAGATATCAACTGCAAGGTCCCATGCTTGCCTGCAGAAAAGGTGACAGGACAGAGATTGCAGGTTAGCCAGCAGCAACACCAAGTTTTGTTTTTTAACTGAACAGATTTTGTATTCAAAGTTCCTAAGACACTACAAAAACTGTGAAATAGGCACTTTTACTCCAGAAACCACTATCCCTGCTCTCTCCATACACATTCCACACATTTTTATTTCAATGGATGCAAGCAAGCACTGGGAAAAGCTAGCAGGTTAACACACCACCAACCAGGTGTCCTCCACAAAAGAAAGGGCCTCTCTAGACCCACTTGCTCTCCCACAGCTCCTGGCCATCATGTTAACACCTACAGACGGAGAGCGATCCTTCTTCTCAAGGCAGAGCTGCAGACACAGGGCCACAGGTGAGAATCAATGCAAAGTATTTTAGCTACCTTATCTCCTAAGTCCTTAAATCACCCTGGTCTAAACCAAGCAGAAAGACGACCACTAGAACAGCTTAGATCTGTCCCATTAGCCTAGCTGGCAGCTGTTCCCAATTAACAGCTGTCTTTCCAATTAGAAGGAAAAATCAACTAGGAGACTCCTGCATTTGTCTGCAGATTCAGGGGATGCAGCTTGTTCCACCCGGCCCAGACCTCGTCCCTCCGCGCCACAGCACTCACCTTCCACTTGGTAATACACTGACAGCATAATTAAGAGGTAATCAAGAGATAATCAAAGCACAGGCAACAAATGCTTCCCATACGCTCAATAAAGACCCATGCTGGAGCCAAAATGTTTACACAGAGCTGGTGAGAGAAATATTTATTCCTGGCTGAGGCAGAGGCAAAGTCAATTAGCACAATAATAAACATAATTCTACTCCAAGTAAAGAATGATATTTCTAACTTTCGGGGCTTGAAGGAATCGGCAATATCTCCTAAAGAAAAATCTCTTGGACTTTAGAAAATGCCAATACACAGCATCTCTGAGGCAAGTTTCTTAGAGGGAGCACAAACGGTTTAGAGATCAGAGAGAACTAGTCCTACAGACCCCGTGCAGGTCGCTATACCGCAGGGGCACAGCACTAAGATGCTGAGCTCCTCCAAGTCCTTTTAGGTAAGAAGCATTAATACCACTATAAAAATGTCCAAAGCAGCCTTGCAAGGTCACATCTCAAAAGGTTTTAAACATGTTATCAGAAAGAACAAACAAAAATTTGAAAAGAGATTTTAGTAGATTAAAAGTAAATCTCTTTTTGCGCTTCTAAAAACAGGCCCTTCAAAATCAGTGTAAGCACACAGCTCAGGTTATTCAGTCCTTGGAAGGAGCATAAGCACCAGTGTGAAACGCCTGCGCTGCTGCTCGTCGCTGGGAGCCGGTGGGGACCCGCGCGCCTGGGCCCCTCCACGCGGCTCCGCAGCCTTTCCCGAGGGCCCGTCCCGCCGCTCCCGCTCCGCCACGATCCCGTGGGATCCTCCGACTCGCTGCAGCGGCAACGCAGGCAATGGCAGCCAAGAGGCGTGCAGATAATCCAAGGATTCAAAACCACACTCAGAAGAGCAGTGCATCCCTCTCTTCCCCTTCGCAGAAACCTTCATAATTTTGTCTTTATTTTAGTTTCAATATGACCCTGCCTTTCAGCAAAAAGCCTCCCCGCACGTCCCCGCCGCAGCCTCCCTCTCTCCCCTCCTCAGCCCACCAGCAGTTTCGTTAGCCTAGCTCTGTAATAACCTTAAAGGTGAGCTCAGGCAGCTGCCTCTGCTCCGCTGCCCGGCGGGGCCGGCAGGGACGGGGACAGCCACACAGCCCCATGCTCAGGTTTTCTTGTCCGAGTCACTAGCTGATGCTTTTCATTCTTATATCGCACTTTTTACAGAATATTACTGATGTCTCCTACGATTCTCACCTTTGTAAGGAATAGCTTGTACCATATTCAAACTCCTTACTGAGGCTGCTGTGAAGCAGAGGCCACTGCAGTTCAGGGGCACTGGCACCAGCGCCTGCCTGTACCCAACACGCTCCTGCTTGTACCCAATGCTCGGAACAGGGTTTTGCTGCGGGTTATTTCTGCAGCTGCAGCTCAGCAACGTGCCCTGTTGGACTGAACGTCCAGAGTGCAGCCCGAAGTGCCCTGCTCGGACGGGGACGCCGGGGAGCTGCTCAGGCACAAGTGTTTAGAGCAGAGCGGGACACGCTCCATGCACGAATATCCGCTCCAGCTACAAACACAGCTCGCAGCAGCGCGCGCCTGCAGCCCAACCCGGGACACACGCCGCTTCTGCCCTAGATTGCTCCCCCTCAAAACAGATGCTGAGGCTGCATATAGAAAAAAAAAAGCCGTTTAAACCAGCAGTGTAATCTAATCCTTCGGCTGTCAAACAACTCCAAATACCCTTTCAGACAATCTTTGTTTTTCCCTCGCCGAGACGTTCCCGTGCAGCAAACGCGAGTCGCTGCTCTGAGAAGGCAGCGTGCAGACTCGCACCCCCTCGCAGCCCTCCCACACCTCCAAGGCTCCAGCTCCTCGCGCCCCTGTAATTGGGTTGCTATATTATGGTTTTCTTCTCGGCTACAATTCCAGCTTATTTTATTTGCAGTATGTTATGACTTCCTTTCCACTAGGATCTCATGCTTGGTGTATATACTACTGCAATAGCTCTATTACGGACAAATCACAGTTCTTCTGCAGCATAACTAAGGTACTTGGCTTTTAATATATAACGTAGTTTAGGAAATATTTCTAAATACATTATTGGGTCTTTTCAAAGCCCATGAATTTAACTCGCTGCCAGCAGCAGCACCATATAAGCCATAATCCATCACAACAAGCATCAAGATGCTGGCAAAGCATCGGGCCTCCCATTCTCACTCTACAGCAGACGAACCTGCTCTCCACGCTGAGCAGCAGGCGCTCAATCAATGTATATTAATGTTAATGGCTGTATTAGGGCAGCGGGTCCTGCCCCGGTCCCACAGCCCCCGGCACCACCGCGCCAGGACCCCAGCCCGTGCGCCGAGGGCTCCCACGTGGAGCATGCAGCCACGTGCCCCATGCTCTGGGGGTCCCTGCTGCCGCACGAGGCTGGACTAGGCGATCTCCAGGGATCCCTTCCAAGCTCAGCCACGCAGGGATGCTGCAATAGGGCAGAGAGTGGCGAGGAGCAGCCAGGCTGGTGCTCCCTGCAGCACGGAGCCTCCATGTGCCCGGGCACCAGGAATGTGCAGCAGAGGTGCCGGCTGCCCCCGCGCCCCCGGCACGCTGCTCAGCTCGGCTGGGCAGCAAAACGGCCTTGGAGGTTTGGGATCTGCAAATGGTTTAAAAAAGCCCGAATGAAGCTGTCACTTAAGTCCAGGTAATTATTTTTAGAAAATATTTAAGTGGGCTCTAAATTAGTTTCTAAATTTGTCCTTCCTCAAAGTTCATAATAACCAACTGAGCCATCTCTGACAAAAGCGGAATTTTCCTCCCTTTGTAGACGTGCTTCAGACTGCACATTTTTTGGAGGATGCCAAACAAGTGTGTCAAGGGGTCCTGAGCCTGTTTGCCCTCCGTTGTGCTAGTGCTTTCCTAAGGACTGCCTTCCTCGGGTGCCCCCTCCAGAGCAGCAACGCGATGCCCCCAATTCACTCGCCAGGACACAGCTCGGGTTAGGGTGCTGCAGGACGCAGTGCTCCCCAGCACGCACAACGCTGCCCAGCAGGCCCGGGAGAGGCCGCAGGAGCGGCCCGGCCTCCGCGCTCCCGGCCTCCGCGCTCCCGGCCAGCGGCACCAACTCCAAATCAAATTATATCCCCAGGTGAACCCAGATATATAGGCTTTTAATATGCTGGCAATAAGCGTGAATTACACTCCCATAAGGAAGGAGAAATCCAGGCTTTGAACACGGTGGCACCGAGCAAGCTGGAAGGCAGGCAGGGAATTCCTTGTTCAGTTCAAACTGCGGCGGGCACCGGGCGCCCCCGCGGCCCCGCTCTGCCCGGCCGCCCTGCAGCGGCCTCCGAAGGCAGCGCGAGAGCACCCTTTCTCTCTGCCTCCTTCTCGATTCTTTTCTCGTACAAATGCCCCAGTTCCTCCTGCTCCACAACGATCACAGAACTCATCATATTTACAAATGCCTGACACAGTTTTCCTCAAAAGCTGCTATTTCGGAGCACGGGAGGATGTGCCCTGCCACGCACGAGCCGGCAGCCGGGCTGCACCTCACCCGCCTTCTGGGGGCCCAGCCTCCTAATTGCTGCATCGCAAATCTCTCCTATTGCCTCCACACTTCAATAATTAAAACAACTTCCTATTATCAGCAAGTGTCTCCTCATTAACCCCTTGCACCTCCAGGTGCTCTGGGGCCCTCTCTCAGCTTCCCTCCATCTCTCCAAACAAATGTGCAATATCTGCTATCGGTTTCACGCTGACCATATCACTTCAGGCTCCTTTGCATTTATATTCCTCACGATTTTATGGAGGAAGCTTTTTAAAAAGATTTTGAGAAGACAGGCAGATTAGCCAAACCCAGCTACCTTTGCCTAGCATTTTATTCTCCTTCTAGTAAGTTACACAACTCTATTTTACTCTTGCATTAGCTTGACTGCGTCAGCTTGTACTTCTATTCTTAACCATGCTGGTTCAAGAATCAAAGCAAGGATTTTCATTCTTACTACTCCTGTTCACAGGCCATTTATCTGATAGTCAAACCCGCGCTTAGAAGCTTTGCCATAACAACTGCGCTGCCTCTGCTTCCATTAGGCGTCTGGAAAGGAACAGGGGCAGTGGGTGAACTCTGCAACAAACCATTTCTTTTACGTCTCTTATGCAAGTTGAAAGCTCCTCCCTCGGCCCCCAGTGCCTCTGCACCCACAGGCGATAAGCTTCACCTAGGGAAAACAGAGCTAGCACATGAACTTTCCCTTCTCTTTGGAAGGGATTATAATAAACAAATAAATATAACAAAAGATGATATGCATGAACAGAGACTTCTGCATTACAGAATCCCATTATAAGTGCATGCAGAAGAAACACATTTGGAGAGGGGTATCAAGGCGCCACAAGCCCCTGCACGCTGAATTCAGAGCCCCAGCGAGCAGGGTGGCGGCAGGCCGGCTCCCGGGCCGGCGCCGCGGCACTCACCACATGGCGTGCATGTAGGTCGGCGGCAGGCGCGGGCTGCTCACCGGCGTGCAGTTGTATGAGCGCATGATTCTCTCCGCCAAGAGAAAGTTACGGAACAAACTGGCCACGAGCAGGTCCTGCCTGAAGAGCTTCTGGAAAAGGTCTGCCAAGAGATTTCATGGATTACCACGACATGCGTGTCTGTGACTTTAGAACATCAGGTAAGTGGCATGTAAAAAAAACATTTAAAAAAAGAGGAAAACATGTTACTGAATTACTGATTTATTCAAGCAACAAGACTTCTACAACGCTTTTGCCAAGACATGAAACCGCAACTATTAAAAGAACTTAAATACACTTTCTACCTCAAGTTGGTTTTCCCTTTTCCTCTCCTGGGCTATCACTTAAATGCACATTCCCCATGTTTGTGGAAATTACTGAGTGTCTCTCTCCTTGTCTTCTCCTCCTGCTCCAAACAAGCAACATTCACTTTTGAGGAGAGCCCAAGCCTCACCTCTAGGCAAGACGTTCCAGGCGATGGTGTCTGTGATGGCTGTGAAGATCCAATTCAGCTCTCCTAGAGGAGTTCTCCTGTCGTTCAGTCTCCCAGGAATCCTGCAAGTGGGGAAAAACACAAGGTTTTTTCCACACGCAGGACATGTGGCAAAAGGGAAACCAAAAACACTTCAAAATTATCTTCTGAGTAGGAAAAAAATAAACCACACAAAAAGCCAGAATATTCATGCAGATATCTCTTCTCCCAAATAAGTGTCTCAGGGACAATATTAAAGCCTGAACTCCCACCACAGCAGGAGAGATTGTGACCTCCTGAGGATATTCCTGAGTCCTGGGACAACGGAGCCACCGCTCCTGGGATGTTGCCCACGCACTGCACCCGCCTGCACCAAACCCTGCTGCAGGGAAAAACACCCCAAAACTCTGCAAAGGCCCAAACCTCAGAGGCCGCGAGGGACAACACAAACCAAGAGCAGTTTCCCCTTTGTTTCTTCACTACCTGACAGAAGAATTATTTAATATATTACAGCCATCCTGCTGGCATTGCTTCCTGCTCTCGCGCTGTGCTCCGGCGCTCTCCGGAGGTGCCAGGAGCTATTTTAGGGGGCGGAAGGGCAGCCGGGACTGGCTGTCCCCGCTGCCAGTGGCACCTCACGTCTCCGGAGCCACCACCGCTCCTGCCGCCGCCTCCTGACGGGCGCCCCTATGGAGCCCTGAATCACCACAGGCTGTCGAGAAAACGGAGGGCTGCAAAATGCCAGGGTCACCAAAGAGCTCGTGCGAGGTGCAGCCGGCAACGTCCTTGTCAGAAATTCAGCAAAATCCCATGAATCACTTTTATTTCAGCAGAAACATTTTTTTCCAGCGCTGGCGGCTGTTCCCTTCGGAGGGCTCCGGCGCTACCTCGGCTCCTAGACACATGAAACACTTAACGCTGGGATATGCGACACGCTGCAGAGCCTTCAGAAAACAGCACGTTCCAGCAGTGCTGCCTACCTGGGAGCATTCCCAATAACTTATCTTTGGCAGAAAAAGAAAAAACAAAACGTTGCATTTCACTCATTACTCTTGCAGGAGCGGGCAGTATCCCGCGGGGAAGGGGGACGTGCTGGGGCCGAGCCCAGCGCGGGCACGGGCTGCACCGGGGCTCCCGACACCCCGACGAGCTGCTCGGGGACACAAACGCTGCCAGCTCTCGAGCTCCCTGGTCAGGAGTGCGGGCCGGGGCTCTGCACAGCGCTCTTCTCTTTGGGAATAAAGACCTGATCCAAATGGTGCCGTGAAACCTTCCCTGCCGAGCACCATCCCCGCTGCACGCGCTCCCCCGCGCACGAAACCAAACATCCATTTCAAGAAAACCAGGATTGCTGCAGAACAGGAACCTTGGGGCTCGACAGCCCCTGCAGAGCAGGCTTCCCTCGAGCACTAGCGAGGCGCAGCCCGGCAGCGCCAGAGCACGACTAACAGCACTTACTGAGCACACATTTTCTGCAACGCCCTAATCCCGTCCAGTGATGTTTCTAGAAGAAAATAAAGGGGGTGAAAACTGCTAAACCGGATCCAAACGCAAGCTAAGAATGAGTTTTCCCACTAAAAACTGTTAAAGAACCAGGCAGCTTTGTTTATTTGAACAAAAGTGAGGTCAGTGGGACAGCGACACGTTACAGACTTGGATCCTGCAGATTTTTCCAAACCACACGTTGTTTCCAGCACCTTTGCACCCTACAGCTGCCTCCTGTCAAGGGCAATGCCCTTGCTGGGAGCCCAGGCTTCCCGGGAAGCCAGGGTGCGGGATCTGCAGCGGCTCCGCCTGCCCATACCCAGGGCCCTCCACTACTCATTCCTGCTTAAGGAAGATCCCTCCGGCACAACAACAAACTGCACTTTGACATAGGAAAATCAGCAGAAGGAAGCGGAACAGCAGCAGCCAGTAGGGTCCTCAGGGCTCGCGCTGGGGGGATCCGCTATCTCCCTGCATCATCTCCACATTTTGTCCAATTACTTAACTTCTGTTGCGTGGAACCTTGGGTTTTATCTACTTCGTCTCTAAATTGGCTGCAACTGGAACACAGCTCATCAATAACCAACCAACTCTGAAACATTAATAATTTCCAGCCCATGACATTCCCTAATAGCTAAAATGGGAACAGGAGTAATTTGGGTCTCCAGTTTGGTATTTTTGGCGGCTGTTTCGCACGCTGTACACAGGGGCTCTGCTCGCGCCACAGTGGAGGCTGCAGAGCGGGTCCCAGAGCAAGGAGTGTTGCCCACGGGGCCAACTCGGGCACCTGCTCCCGAGGGCACCGGAACGGAGCCACTTCCAGAGGGCCTCGTGCCCAGCAGGGACGGCTCTCGCGTCACGGGACTTGTGCATCCTCGTGCGCCCCTGGCATTCCCGTGAGCCCAGCTTCATTCTCCCCTCCCTACACCACCTTACACCATCCTGCAGGATTTTTTTCCTGATTTTGCTTTTAAGGCAGTGTTTAACTTTCAGGCCATTCAGCGCTCACACCAACAAAGCCCAAGCCGTGTGTGTGTGCACCAGCAACGCCAGCCCAGGACACGCACAAGTCCTCAGGAAGGGGCAGCAGCCGGGGCTGCAAAGAGACGACTGCAAAGGACAAACGTGGGATTCCTGCTGCAGCAGCCCGGCCTGCTCGTGTAAACTGAAGCACATCGACAAGAGCAGTCGCTGCTGTTTATCAGCTTGCCTCAGCTGCCTAAGAACCAGTAATTATGGTCAAATATTGTTTGGATAAAAGGATTACGCTATGTATCAACAACGCTGAGCGTGAGAAACGACAGCAGAGGCGCAGAGAGCAGCGCTGCAGTGAGCAAGGGGGAGCAGCCTCCTCGCTCAGCGGCTCTCTGGGGCTCTGCAGCCCCCGCTGCGGCCGGAGCAGAGCCGGGCGCAGCTCCGTGCCCGCCCTGCCTGCCTGGGCATCGCGCCGCAGGAAAACCAGTGGCAAATGCTCTGCTTGGAGGCCCTGGGAAAAGCTCTCCAAGGAAATCTCCTCTCAGACATGCAAGAGAAATACGGGACATAACCAGGAAATTGAGAGCAATAGAAAAAAAAAATCGTAAGATTTGCCTTACTTCTCTATTAAATCCAGCGTGACTCCTGGTACCAGTCTGACACTCTTCTGCATACAGAACCTGTGGAGGAGAGAATAAAAATAAGTCATTCTGATTAAATATTTAATGACACGGCTTTGTAGAAAGCATGTGGAAGAAGGTTTCTTTATTACAGGGTTTCTGCTTATAAAATAGCATTTGGATAAAAAACCTCGCCACTGTATAATGAGCGCCAAGCACTGCCTTGGATGTTGGTCACACTGGCGCTCATGCAGCGATTCCCATGCTTTGCTCTTCCAAAGCTGGCGAGCACGGGCAGGCTGCACCACAGGGCAGGGGTCCCGGTGTGGGGCGAGGTGGGTCCCGCCGACCACGCGCCCGGAGCGGCCGCCTCGGGCTCCCGTATTGCGGGGAGAGGAGCCGAGCGGGAGGTGCTGCCTTCTCGTGTCCCCAGCACCGCCGTGTTCAAAGGAGAGGCTGCTCTCCGGGGAAACGGGCTGTCTCGACACACTGAATCACCGTGCTGCCTTCAGAACGAGCCCGGGCTGCAGCTGAGCATTAGAAATACAGAGTTTTTCAGCTTGTCAGTAGATGTGGCAGGGAGAAGACACAAGCCTGGTTTCAAACGCGGTCTGTGCTGCAAGCCCTCCTGCAAATCAGGGGCGACTGTGATCGCAGCCCGGCCCCACGCACAGCTGCACAGAAAGCTGCACCATTATTTGAACGCCCAGGAGGGCTCCAGGAAGCTACACGGAGAAGAAGGGGATTTCAGCTGATTTGTAATTTATAGCCCTGACAAGTCACGGAAATCATTTGGGACCCAAGTGCGTAAGGCCTCTGAGGTTCAATAAGTAGCTTTTTATCTTCTCATTCCTATACGAACTTATAAGGAAAGCGCATAACTTTTTTTTCATTCCGAACTTTTTTTTTCCTGAATAACATTCATAACTAGAGCGTCCTGAGAGCTCTCAGATCACCCAGTCACCGTCGTGACACTTCATTAGCCTGTCACTCTGGAATTGCAAACATGATGCATCCCTCCATCGACGGCACAAACACCTGAGCATCTTCCTGATCATTACAAGGCACTAAAAACAACGGAGGAAAACCTTACCTTATCCCAAGGATCTAAACTTTAACCTCCAATTCTTGAATCCCTCACACTTTGCACTGTTTTATTTATTGGTTTTGGACTCTGATCAATGAAAAAAATACAGACTTTTAAAAGCTGCAGTCATTTGTATTTACCAAATTACTTTGTATGTCATCTACCAGCCTTGAACCGACCAAGAGGAGTGTTTGGTTGCGTTCTGAAGCCTCGTTCCATGGGCAGAAGCAGCATAAATCCCAGTCAGCTCCAGCTCCGGGCACAGGAAGGGTCTGAGCGCGCCCGTATGAGAACGGCCGTGCCCTGGAACCGCACGTTCCTCGTGAGGACTCCCAATCTTTCAGTTTCCTTAAGGGCACTCTACTGCACAACACCTATACGCTTTTGCTTACTTTAGCCTAGTCTAACTAGTGACCTGGAGCTTTTCATTCGGACTGCAAGCAGCGTGGAGAGCATCAGGTGCAACGAGCTGTGTGGGTTCACAGCTGCAGGGAGCTCCAGGAGGGTCCGCCGCTCCCTGCCCCGCTGGCGCCGTATCCCACCCCGCAGCAGCCTGCCCTTGCTTACCGCTCATTTCCTTTCACTATAGTATTGTTTAACGCTGCTATATTATTTATGGTAACTGCAATACTTGGAATATAATTTGCACAAAAGGCAGTTTACCAAAAGTTGTATTGTACTGCGTGCTAGTTGTGCTTCCCAAAGAGGCACATACTTAATTCCCGGAATAGTAAATCCCTTAATCTGAGCAAACCTAGATATCCAGGTGGAATCAAGTGCAATAAGTAGAAGATAACTATATTTTCACCTTCCTAGTTCTGATTAATAAAATGTCTCAAATGCGTAGCTCAAATCTTGTAATTCAATGCTTCAGCAAAACCCTAGCTTAGTAAAGCATCTGGATTAACAAATCTATCATTCCATCAGACAAGCCTCATGAATTATGCACTTCCCTGGAGCCTGGGGGATGGCGCTTACCATCTCAGAGCGATTTTGATGGGCGTAGTAAGGCATGATGTGAAAAGGTCAGCGGGCAGATCGGGGATCATGGGCAGCAGCTCGTTGGCCTCGCACGCCGCCAGCTGAATGCAGTTCTTCATCGACGGAGGCAGAGGCATTTGAGCAAGCGGATGGTTCGGGTTAATTGCAGCCACCTGGGGAGATCAAGGAACTTAATCAATTGATGAATTCTGCCGTTTGGGAAAGCCAGGCCAGCCTCTACGACGTTCAAAAAGGGAGTGAATGAAGAACAGCCAGGGCTCAGCGGCTCTCTGGATTGAGAAAAGTTTAAAACCACAATAGTGACAGCCATAGGTATGTTTCAACTCTCATATTTTACAGTATTCAATAACACTCGATGTCAAAAATGACAATTTGAAGTGACCTGTAGTGAGCGGGGCACAGAAACTGGCCTGCGTTGGGTTGTCGCCCTGCAAAGCGCGGCCGCAGCAGCGCGATGCTCCGCTGGGCACGAGCGGCTCGATGTGCTGCCCCGGGCAGCTCCTCCACCCTGCAGCTCCTTCTGCTGCCCGTGCCGGTGCAGAGGGGACACCGTGACCCTCCCCAGCCCGGCCGAGCCCCGTCACTGCCGCCCTGCGCAGGGGAGCGCTCGACTAGGGCAGGAAGGGCATCCCGCTCCGTCGGGAATTCTCCCCTACGGCTCTTTACTGCCCTTTCCAGGAAGGCTTAAGCTGGACATTCAGCAACAAAACCCGATAATTACCACATGGAAAAGATGTTTTATTTGAGGAGAAAAACCTTAGAAACAAGGTGGAGAAGCATCAGCCTTTCCAGCTTTATAAAGGTAAAGCTGTCCGGCCGCGGCCGAGAGAAGGGGGAGCCCCAAGAGGAGCAGGCGGCAGCACGGTGCACAAAGGGGGGCACCAGTCCTGGCCACGGGAAGCCTGTGCACACGGAACAACGCTGGGAGCCACCACTGCATGGAAGATGAGGCTCTGTTTGGGTGTTAAGGCAACCGGGGCCGGCCCTGGGTCTCGCGCAGAAACCGCGAGGCGCTGCTGTTTTCATGTAGCCCAAAGTGCCGCGTTTCACACGGTTTCTGTCCCGAGAATCCGCTTCCCAGGCGGCAGATATTAATGCAGCTCCAGGAGAGGAGATGTTCCTCTCTCCCAGCAGATGGTGGATTAGAAAAATTCCCCCCAGACATGATGCTAATGCCAGACAACATTCTGCTGGGCTGCCATTAGGCTAATTTTCGGAGAATTAATGTTCAAGATGGAAAGATAAAAACTCTGTGTTCTGCAGCTCTGGCTGGGAGGCGTTAGTCACGTATCCTACAGGAGGCGAGGCAGAACCAGCACCCCCTCAGCATTGGCACATGCCCACACACACAACAAAGCAGCCCTCGCAGAAATTGGGAAATTTCAAGTGTGTATATATGTGTGTGTGTGTGTGTGTGTGTATATATAGGGATGGATGGAGGGATGCAGCTGGGGGACACGTCTCAGCCCTCCCTCCCCTTCGGACTAGGGACCTTTGCCATAGGAAACGCTCGTGAGTCAGAGGAGACAAATGCTGGAATTACTCACAGAATTCATCAGCACTAAGCAGCCTGCTGCTCCAGCGCCGCTAGCACGGCTCACTTCAACAGCCTGCTTCTCCAGACCTGTGCTGTATTTACACACACGCGCAGAGGCACCAAAGCTCGTTAATTAGATGATTAAGAGCACCGAGCGCCTGCACTCCCGCCGCGCGTGCTGAGCAGAGCTCGGGGCTTCGGGGGAGGCAGGTGCCAGGTTCCTTGTGGACGGGCTGCTCTGCAGGGATTGCTTCGGCTGCCGCGTGCCCACGGTGACAGGCCATGGCCGGCGCTCGGCACCTCGCCCGTGCCGCGTTCCTGCCGCATTCCCACTCGTGCTCCTCGTGCTGCCCAACGGGACACCGCTCAGGAAGCAAACTGCAGGAGCTCCCGTTCCCGCAAGCCTGCGCCAGCTTCTGCCTCAAAAAAATGGCTTTGGGAAAAGAAAACAACGCTTTCTGTTGGAAATACGATGCCAAAATCACGAGACACACAGGCAGCATCAACCAGGAAAAATACCTTTTAAACTGACTTCCCTTCCTAACGTGGCCCTGCATCCACATCCCGCTGCTGGATGGGCTTCCTATCCACAAATCCATCGTTCTGGTTAGCAAGGGTTACGCCAAGGCTGCCTGCAAGCAGCCAGGCTGCCACGGAGCCGCCCAGCAGCAGCTTCTGCATCAGGAGACCTCCTGCTTGGCACTACATTAGGCAGTTAGCAGGTCTCGGGGAGCTGCCGAAATCCAGGACACAGAGAGTGCACACCCGACAGGCAAATCGAAGTATTTCCACAATCAAATTAGCTGGTAGTTTTCTATCAGTGTTGGAAAGCAAAGAAATACTAGAACAGTTTTACCATGTAACCTCACGTATTTTGTAAAAACAACCAACCCCCTACACCAAACAAGCAGAATTTTGCATTTTGTTGGGATAAAACCTGATTTTGCTCCTTGTGCTTCTCTTTCTCAAGGCAACCAGATGCTCCAGCTGGAGATGGAGCCTGGCACGTCCGACTGGCGAGGAGGAGCCTCCCCTGCACAGGCACCGCCGGGCGCGTTCATCCTGCACGCAGCAGAGCCCGGCGCTGCCCTCATCCCGGGACAGCCCCGGGGTCAGTCTGGAGCCCCGCAAAAGCAAGAGAGGAAACTAGTGAAGGGAGCTGCGAAAGGGAAACTAAAACCTGGCTCCATTTTAATCTGTTTAGCATCCGAATTGGAAAACAAACAAAAGTGGAGATGGGTGCATTAAACAAACAGAAGAAAAGGTTCCAAAAATAGAGCAATAAAAGTCAGAGGCTGCCAGCAGAACTTGAGGAAAGTAAAACAGCATATGGCCACTCTGAACTAAAGAGATGGTAACCTTCAAAATGCATCTATTGCCAACAGTACTGCTCCGTGCACTGCAGTTCCAGGCTCTTCTCTACCCAAGAGCTTGCAGATCTCCCATGGATGCAGAGAACAGCATCACCACCACTGCAAACGACAAGTGTGATGGAAAGAGCCGCATCCCTCCACATGTTAGATTGGCTCCTCTCACTGGAAAGAGATGTCTACTTGTCAAAAAAAGTCAACACAGAAACATACCCAGAATTTATAACTGAGAGTGAAGGGAATTAAATCCAGGCCTTGCTTCCTTAAAGTTAATGCATGTGTATTATATATAACGATTAGAATTACAAGAGTTAGAGAAGTTGACCATGAAAAAGGCGCTTCCTCTGCGGGCTCGGCCGGCGCCTGGCAGCACCGTCTTGCCACCCCAGGCTGCTACACACAGATCCTAACTTCTTATTTTCCACTCCGCATTTCAGATTCACTGCAATAAACGTACTAGGAACAACACTAGTAATTACGGCCTAGTAATTGCAACGAAAGGCAGCTTGTCGTTAGCAACACATTGAGCTTAAGCATTCTGTGAACCCGAACCCGCCGGGCCCGCTGGGTGCTGCAGTTGGATCATTTTGTTTAACAGTTGCACATTTGGTTCACCAGCACAAAACACGAACTGCATCCAAGTATATACCCAGCTACCAGGCTTCTGCATCTAAAATAAATATGTCTGGGTCACCTCAGCATTTATCTCAGCGGAAAAGATCACTAGGGCACAAACTGTTTCTATTAACATTACCACTTAATTAGTGCTTATGTTAAAAAAATATTCCGACTTTAATAGGATAGCAAACTGAAGCAGAAAGATTGGAATAGCAAGATTACTTCCAAATTAATTTGCCTTTAATGTAATTTTAAACATATTTTTTTTCAGTGGTGCATAGCAAAGCAAGCCTAAACTTAGCCCAACTGCAGCCATTAGAACTGAGATCAAATCTTAATGTTCAGTGGAGGGAAACAGGCACAAATGAGACCTCTGCAGCACTCTGCAGTCTTACCTCCAACTCCTGCTCCCTCTGTAGTGCAAATTGCTTGAACGACTTGACGATAAGGCCAGCATTGGAGCAATCATAGACGAAAATGGAAGGGCTGCCCATCCAGGTCTGCAGGTCATAGATGGAGAGCGGGATATACTGCGTGTAGTTCTGCAAGGAGAACCGAAACGTTGAGCTGCACAGAGGCAAGGAAGCGGGAGGACTTGCTGGAGAGATCATAAAATACACACCGAAAACCCGTTTCTGACCCGACAAAATAAAAGCTGGACCAGGCCCTGGGCACATCCACCTAGACAAGCCCCAGTCATCACCTCTAATAAGCAGGGCTATGCACCCACCTCCAAAACAAACCCAGGTTGCTTTATTGAGCTGTTGCTGCGAGATGGAACTTGAAGCTAAAACCCTAAGAATCGCTAGAGAGGGCTTGGAAATAAGCCCAGGATCCCAACAAAGAGCACTTAATAGTCCCCTTGTAGCTCCCGTGTCTGCAGCGCAGATAAAACACACAAAGCAGGTGTCTTTAGCATCAGCTCCCTGCTACTGAAAACTCCATCAGCATTTCCATATGGACAATTATGACTAGGTGGCCCTTCCGCTGCAGCTACTCAATTTAATGAGATACTTCACAATTTTATTACAGCCTTTAAATTCTGTGCAACTTACAGAACTGTCCTGTAACATTAAACCCAACCAAGCCCGGCTGCAAAGAGCGAAGCTCCAGCAAAATCACCTTCCAGAAACATTCCATGCTTCCTTCTTCCTCTTCCCCACTCGTCCCATCAAAGACTTGGAAGCAAAAGCTCCCAAGACGAGAAAGACAATGGAAAAATCAGCCTCAAAAGGAGACGGGTGAAGGCCCCGTGGTGCCACAACCAACACCCCCTTTACATCCAAGCGACTTAATAATAATAATGTAATGGACTTAGTAATAGACTTAATAATGTAATAAGGACAGGAAGCTTTTGCATAAACCACATGCTAAATAAGGCAGGTAATACTAAGGTATTTCAAAATCCAGTGTTGGCCATGCATAAAATATTCAGTGGTTTTGCTGAACAACTATTGCTCATAAAAGTTTGGGGGAGTTTGGAGTTTTAACAAGTGACACAGGGCAGAAGGAAACACAAACAACTGGGCCTCCCTTTCAGACAGCAAGGGGAGCACACTGACACCCCACTACACGTGAGCACATTGCAATCTTCGTAATTAAATACTAAAAACTGCTCAGACAGACATAATTGCTGAGATTTTATGGACACACAATGTATCAATTTTAAATTTATAATACATGCACTACATATTGTATATATGTACAATACGTATTGGTACAGCTTAGGCTGCAATATGCCCCCAGCTAACACTGACGTTTCAGCCAGCAGAATCTTATGCTCAGAGTTTACGTGGGGGAAACAGACGTAACTTAATTAATATGCTGATGACATGTAAATTAGACAGTTTGCAGGAAAAAGGCCCGTTAAACGACAGGTTTCTAGCAGGGCTGCTCGAGGAGGACGCGAGGTTTCTGCTCCTCCTGCTCCAGCCGCGAGCAGCAGCGCGGCGGCTCCTCGCGCTCGCAGCACGCAGCACCCACCGCGCCGGGTGCCTCTTTGCAGCAATAACGCAGCAATAAAATGCAACATGCTGCGGTCAGGCTAGAAACAGATTCTGAAACATGTTCAGAATCAAACTCCTAACAAGGAGCTCAAGAAAATCCAACAATGCTCTCCAGATTCTGCAGAGAAGTTCCTCAGGACTCCCCAGTGAGGCCAGGAACACGGGGGTCTCCGTGGCACAAGGAGACTCTGGCCTGGCCTGCCCAGCCCAGGGGGCTCCGCGGAGGCTGCCCCGGAGCCTGGAAAGGCTTTTTCCAAGCCTGGGAAAAGGAAACTTGCAGAATAATCCCTTCCAAAGGATGCTAAGATTTCTGTTTCCAGCTTCTGAGATGAAACAGTGTTTGAAGAGGGTATAATCATTCATTCCTCTACAGCTAAAGAGCTTCTTCAGAGGGTTTGTGTATTCAGCTTCTGTCTTGGGATTTCTCAACCTAATGGATCTCTCAAATCTCAGGAAATAGATTCTGTGGCAATGAACCTTTGGGAATTTGTCCCTAGTTTTTCTATATGTCTAATCATCTCACTAACAAAGAGACCAAGAGCATTTTGCTTGTTGAGCTGCAAATCAAAAATTACAAAATTAAAGCCTGGTAAGGTCCACATGCTCCCTTGGAGTAGACCGGCTGCCATTAAAGGACAGCAGAAAAATTACAACTGCAATATATGTGGCTTCCTTTAAAGCTGTCGCTCACCCCATGAAGTTACAGAGCTGAAAAATTCCAAGGAGTGGGGAAGGAGGAAGGGGAAAGCTCCATGGAGGAGGAGGAGAACCAGACATCTCCCCACACCATTTCCCATGGTCGGGGGACATCTTTTTCTACAAAATAATTAAGAAGGCTTTAATGCCAATAAAATGAACAGAGATGAGCATCAGATTATTTATTCATTGCTATTCCCTTATCTATCAGACTGGATTAAGTATCAAAAACACAGGCCGGCTTCATAAGGGAGCCCTGAAAGATGAAGCCCCCACAAAGGTATCCACACTGCAGCAGGGATAGCACGTCAAAACCTATGGAAAATTAAACTCCAGAAAAGTCTGCATGGAGAGATCAGGTTAATTTCGCTATCAGGTTTTAGGTGCCTTACCCAAGCTGCACTGATCAAAAGGGACTGCAGCTCCTGATCGGCAGCCGAGTCCTCAACCACCTTCCCCAGCTGAGATTCCAGGAAAACTGGCAAATCCCCAATAAGTTCTTAATAAAGCATTTGGCACAACATAAACTTCATCGAACAGTAATTTCCTCTTCTTCCATGTGTATCACATTCTGCCCAGCATTCTTTCTGGCTTATTTATTATCCACTGGCTGGTAACTGAGAAGAAGGTCACTGCTATTTGTTCTGAAACACCAAATTCAGCTCCAGAGCGAGCTGTTTAAAATGATGCTCTGAATATTAATCAGGGCTCCAATACAGATACACCAGAATAAAACGATGCCCTCCTGTCCTTTCTTCCTTTCTACCCCCACCTCTTTCAAATTATCATTGAATGATTTTTCTATTCTATTTCTATTCTATTTTCTATTTTAAAAATAAACAAAGTCAACTGAGAAGCTCAATAGGCCCCCAAAATAAAAGAGGAGCCAATCTATAATAAGGAGTGCAAGTTCTCTGGCAGCTAGATGCACTTTTCCTGGCAGTAGATCTCCGTTGCTGAAGACTCCTTGCTAAATCAGCTCCCCGTGGTAGACACTAAACAGCTCAACTAATGGGCAAGTGAAGGACAACCAGGGGACAGCCAGTGGCACCACGGGAGAGGGGCCGGGCGGGAATGGGAATGGAGGGGAGGCAGCAGCCCACACCCCAGCTCCGTGGGAGCGAGCGCTGCTCCTGTGCACGGGCTGCCTCCGCCTCTCACCGAAGGCCTCTACGGAGCCAGAGGAAGCATCCGTTAATGTGCAGCTACACGAGCGGCCATGAACACCTTCCACATCCCGAAAATTCGGTTGTTCTTCCCAAAAAGCCTGTAACAAAATTGACAGGGCAGCGAAGGACCCCGTGCTCCGCGCCCCGATCCTCGGGGACGCACCTTGTTGAAGACCCAGATCTCCCCGTTGACGGTGGGCCGGGGGACGCCGTGGCCGTTGTAGTGGAACAGCACCCGCTCCTCCTTGGCGTTTCGCCGCAGGGACGTACACAGTTTCTTAACTTCGTCCACCGTAGGGTCGAGGCTCTGCTTGTATCTGGCCTGGTAACATAAAACAAGTTAAGCGTTTTGCTTGCAAACACAGACGCAGGCATCTACTCAAGGAGGAAGCGTGCGGATAAACTGGCATGTTGGAAAAACAAAAACACAAAACATTTGCTAAAGAGCCGAATACACAAAGCATGTCTGTTCCTGGGTGGGTGGAAGGCCTAGGTACGAGCTGATTTACTACGTGTCTCTGAACTTGGATCCGTCTCATCCAGGGACAGCTGATGTTCAAAATGTCTTAGAAATGTCAAATACATTTTCAGTATTAGTCAGCCTCAGAAATGACCCAGTACAATTCTCTAACCCTCAAATTCACACCCTGTGAACCTCCAGATGAACAAAATTCACTCAAGGTTGCAGGTTTGAGCTTCCTTCAAGGTTCCTTTCGTGATAGGCAGAGATACAAAGGTCTAAAAACACCACAGCAGAAAAGGATGGAGCCCGTTACATGAGTGCTGTGCTTATCTATGGAACTTGGAAAACAGACATGACGCTACTGAGCTAACAGCATGGATACACGGCACGGATACATGGAGTAGCAGCATCTCCAGCACCACAAACGTGAGGCCGAGCAAGAGGAAACGCAAGGACGGGAGGCAGCGGTCGGAAGCTGCTGCTGGGGCCTCCCCGGACAGGGAACGTCCCTCCGAGACGGGCCTGGCGGGGGCAAAGCCCTTCCAGTGCATTCCTCACTCCCTGCCCTGCTGGGAAATGCCAGCGTTTATTGGCTGCAGAAAATAATTCCCATAGTTTTGTGGATCTTGTGCTTAAATTAATAGCTCCACCTTGAAGCCTCTACCCAGTTACTGACTTCCCTTTCACGCTGAAGGGGGCAAAACATAAATCAAACACCATGGGGAAGAGCGCAGGTGAGGGGTCCCTTTCCCAACACACGAGGAGCGCCCGCAGGAGCGGCAGCAGCTGCCGCTCTTGTGACCAAGGGGCGCTGGGGACACCGGAGCAAGCGGGAGCTGCTGCACTGGGTGCCCCGCCGGCCACAGCGCGCTCGGCCCTGCCAGCTGCTGCGTCCAGGGGACTCGTCCCTGCCGCGGCGCCTGTAAAAAGCAGCCGTGGAGCCCTCTGAAGGTGACAGTTGGAGGGTAAGCGATTTTCAGTTGCTGATGCTGCCTGCCCCATTAATGGGCTATGGTAGGAAAAAGGGTTTGGAAGCCAGGCCAAGTTTCCGTCCTCATTCATCAGCCATGAGCCCTGCCGAGTGGCAGACACATGCTGGAACACCAGGGAATTTTCATCCAGGAATGAATCTTCTCCTTGCAGAAGCTATAGGGAAAAGCCTCTCTTCCCAGCAGAGTTAGGAAATTCAAGATCCACAATCACACAAACAAAAAAGCAGCAAATTGGCAGTGAATAGTCATGGAGTGAAGAGCACAAAACCCAGCAAATTGTAGAATAAGAAAAAGATCAGTCTCATTGCTTAGTCCCAAGTGAGAGTGGAAAGGAAGGCCGGGTTGGATTTCAGGAAGCAATCCAGGGCTGTCCCATCCCATGTATCCCAAGACAGGCTCAGTTCCACCTATATCCCTCTCCCTCCTGGCAAAGGGACTGATCTACATCCGAGGCTCCCAATGGCAGATGCTCCAAACTCCCTCAAGGCGGTAGAGTTTCCATTTTTGTTAAGAAGTTTTCTCTTAACGAATTCCAATTACTGCAAATGACTGCAACTTCCTTGCAGGAGTTCACAGCAACCCTTTGCACCACGTTCTTCCCAGCAGCTCTGGGCTCAAGGTGAACCTTGGTGGAAATGGGACGGCGCAGGAGGCAGATTGGAATCCCATTTTCAAAATGCAGATGCATTAAACCTCACTCTGCACGCACACAGACAGCCTCCTTGATATGATTTAATTAAAAGGATTAAAAGCAATCTAATTATGCCAAGAGAATGTTTTTGGAACAGCGCCCAAATGTGAAAAGCAGCAATAGAGGAGTCCTTGCACAGGGATTCCTCCTGGGACGGGGCAAGGGAAGCAGCAAGCCGGGGGGACAGGGGTGCACAGGTCCCCTGGCCCAGCCACGCATGTCCCAGCCCTACGGCTCACACAGGCCTTGGAAAACCATCCAGCCTAGAGCAAGGGCTTCCCAGCTACCCGCGGTGCTGCATTTTAAACCAGTAAGCCCATAACAGGATGCCATGCTTTCCTCCCCACTATCTCTCACCAAATTAGCTTTATTCATTTGCTAATTGTTTCACTGGCCACATCACCAGTTAACTAAATAGGAGCCTTCCAGCTAAGCCTGACTTTGTCATAAGGGAGCAGCATGCACCGAGTTTGGCAGGGCCACCACAAGGTGCCCTAGAGAGGGAGAGCAGCCCATGGCGAGAAGAGGCTGCTCCTCCCGTGTGTTCTGCAAGGCAGGAGGATAAAGTTTGGCCCTCACCTGATAAGCAGGAAAGAGAAAAGGGATTTACCAAGTAACCATTAAATAAACAGCTCGTAAGACAGTCCAGACCGCTGGGGTCTGAAATGACAGAGTCCTTGCAGAAGGTCCGTGCTCAGCGTGGCATCGAGCGACGTGCTCAGGCCGAGGTCTTGGGTCCCAACGTCCCTGCACAGCACCCAGCCCTTCCCCTGGGCGCCAGCACCGCCCAAGGGCCCTTGGAAATGGGTCATTCCTGCCGGGAGGAGAGCGCCGCACGGGGCAGGGGCTCCCTGTGCCGGCTGCCACACGCGTCGTGCGCAACAAGCCTCCCAAATCCTGCATTTAGCTCCCCCCGGGCTGCAGAGGTTGCTCAGAGGCCACGTTTTAGGGCCAGCCGTCACTTTGATGCACCATGTTCCTCGGGACGTCTGGAACAACCTCTGCTCCGAGGTGTAAAAGGGGCCTGTAGACGTCAAACAACTTTACAGGCACATAATCAGATGACTGTGTTGTGCCACGCAGCAGGCAGCACCACTGACACCTCACATTTTTAAATTACTGAAACATATAAAACAATGAAAAAGAATATTTCCAAAACTGAAGGTGCTCATCTCCCCAAGTGAAGTAAAACTCAGCACTGGTGGAACCATTATTTAGCTTCTCTCCCAGAGAAGTCCAATTAGTTTTGAGCAATACAATCATTCAGGAAATGAAAAGGAGCAACTCGGAGCACGGGCAGACACGGATCAGTCGTGCTGAAAACGCTGGAGGACATTGGAGACGACTGGAGATGCTGCTTCCAGAGCACCGGACTTTTGCAGCAGGAGGGACAGGAACATCTTTCAGCTACACTCGACCTGAGGCCTCTATAAGGACTTCACATGAAGATCCGGGAATGGGTCCCGCACCTCGCCTTGCGGATCCTCTCCTTTAGGCCACAAAAGAAAAGCCTTGCTTAAGTGACTTCAGATAAGAACAAAAATTGGGAGTAACAGAAGACTAAAAGAAAAGCTATTATATCTAATAGAGCAAACTGGACACAGAGCATTTAAATCATACGTAGCACAGAGAAGTTTCTGCTTCTGTAAAAACACCCCTCTGAAATCCAGCCCTCACTTAATAAAGAAGCAGTAGGGGAACAGCAGCATTTACATGTTAACATATTAAAATACAGTAGTAACAACTTCGAGTACTTTTAAAATAAATAAATAAAAATATACCAATAGGATGCTCTTGCTAATTCACCTATAAAATCATTCTGTAATGACACGCAGGCAAATAAAAAAACGGCAAAACCAATTTCAGCAAGCTTCTCAAAAGGCTTAAACCACATCCTAGGGCAGGGGCAAGGAAACGCACAGCGCTCCCCCTGCGCCACCCTTTCTGCCCTTACAAGGGCTCAGTCTTGGTTGTGCTGCTCCTGGTTCAATGCTCAAACTTGCCCATTCGCCATTTCTCTGAAGCTCGCAAGTCAGATATACTTTTTTCACTGAATATTCAGAGTTTCTCTCCAAGCTTCTCCAGTTCTGCTACTAGGAAATCTTTTGATGTTGAGTAGAAAGAAGAAAGAACGTTAAAAATGACTTGGAGAATGCAGACGAGCTGGTGCAGCCGGAATTCTGACAGTTCCTGGAGATGAGCTGAGCCACAAACGAGCCCTGAAGCAGCCGCTCAGGTGTGTGCACGGGCTGCACAACCAGCGCTACCGCCTCGCTGCACCAAGGAAACCACTGCAGATACAGCCTGCAAAGCCACCTTTACGTGCGGCTTTCCAATACTTCAGTGCTGCACTGAAGCAGTAATGCTGATTTTGAAGCGTGTATTTATAAATAAGTGGATTTCTAGGTAGAAATGGTGCACATTTATCTAGCACTTGGCTCACATTTTCCTAATCCCGCTCCCGATTCCCTCTGTACCCGAGAGGGCTCCGCTCCACCAGCTCAGCCTGGGGGCCTCCAAGCCCTGCACGGGGCAGGAGGAAGATCCGTCCCATACAGACCCATCGGGGTGCCCACGAGATGCACAGCAAGGTGCTCAAAACAGCAGACGGGGGATTTAGAGGAAGGTCCCATTCCCATAAAGACCTGGCTAAGAATCAGGGTGGAAGGATCGCTGGCTTCCCCATGGATGGCAGGGCCCGGTGACCACACGGAGCCCGGTCCAGCCTATTCTGCCCGGTCCAGCCTACTCCTCAGGCCTCGGGCAAGGCCGCAGGCAGAAGCGCGGCCGCGGGCGATGCCGGGAGGTGCTGACGGCCGCCGCGGGCAGCCCGTGCGGCACCGCGGGCCGCGGCGGGACGGAAGGCGCTTGGGCCACGCGGACACGGCTCAACAGCACGAGGAGCGACAGTCCCAGTTGTGTACGCGCTGCAACGAGCCCCAGACCAGCTACTGGTGCGCGGAAAGCGGAGCTGGCAGCACCAGGAGCTGCTCCGGGTCATGGGCGGCCCACGAGCAGCCAAAAAAAGCACGTAAAGACTTTCTGCCAGGAAAGTCACGAGGGAAGACACATCACAGCCACCACAAAACAAGAACCAAGGTCTCGGTCGGGGTCTCTTTGCTTGTCATCGTGTCTTCCAACACCAGAACAGCTCCTCAGAGCACGCCAATGGTTTG